AAAGGCGACAGGGCCCCCCCCCCCCCCCCCCCCCCCAAATCAATTTATTCAGAACATGGTGTTGGAGGAGAGCTCCACAGATTACTGCAGACTGCCAAAAAGACCAAAAAAGGGTTCTAGATCAAATTAAGCCTGAAATTTCATTAGAGGAATCTATTCTCAGGCTTCCCAGAGTGTGTTCGTGGGCTCAAGCCACAGGAAGCCAGGTTTAGGCTGAATACGTATCAGGGGGAAAACTTAACAGTTAGAGCAGTATGACACAGGAACCCATGACTTTTAGAGGCGTCGAGTGCTCCCACGCTGGAGATCTTCAAGAGGGCCCTGGACCACCCTGTGTCGGATCTCCTTTGAGTTGGATTCCTGCACTGAGCCGGGGGGGGGGGGGACTCAATGGCCGTATAAGACACACAAACCCCTTTCCAACTCAAATTATTCTAGGATTCTGTGATAGAAGTCTTAAACAAACTGAGGCTATCCTACTTTGGCCAAGGACACCCAGTATGGTGGTGTGGGTCCAGGAACACCCTAGGACTCAGGAGACCTCAACTCACATCCCTTCTTAGCCTTGGAAGCTCACTGGGGTTGTGGAACCGCTCCTTAATTATCCCACTCACCTTGAAAGCCCAGCCAGGGTCGCTATAAGTAAGCTCTGTCCTGAAGGCATACGACGACAATCATATTTTGGACATAATTGTGAGAGATTATACATCCCCAAGCCGTGATGGGGATGTATAGTCTTCAGGTTTAAAAGAAAGACCTCCAAATGTCACATGCAGGGGAAGAGGGATCAGGAGACAGGGATCTGATCGTCTCGTGGTCTCCCAGAGGCATCCGGTGGGGCCCCTGTGAGATCCAGGGAGCTGGATTCAATGGGCCCTTGGCCTGATCCAGCACAGAGCTCGTCTGATGTTCTTAAGATAGGGTTTGCTGGAGAAGAAAGCAAGGAAAGTCTGAAGATAAGTAGGAAACGAGGAAGGCCAAGCATGAGATTAATTGACTCAATCAACCCACTGCAAGGGTTGCGCTGGGCTACTGATGACAGGACCTATATAGAAAGCAGCTACGAGATTATAAAACTGCCATAAGTCAGAAGTAACAACAACAGCACATGAACAGTAAAGAGTACATGTGCCAGTACAACATACCTCTGCATTTTATGTGGCGGGAGGGGATGCATGACTAATACTTAAGATTGATTTGAAACTCCTTGCTTTCTGTATAGAAAGGCCTTGATAGTTTAATAAAATGTGAATAGCTGCATCTGTCTTTCTGTGTAAAATAGATGCCCATGCTCCAGCCCATTTCTTTAGCTTCATGGAATGTATCAGATATTCTACATCGTGTAAGGCTGATGACATTATCAACCTTAGCATTTTTTTAAAATGATGACAATCCCCCATGTGCCAAGGGGGCCCTTGGGATTCCTGTCATTGCGGACGAGCTGTTGAGAGCTGTGGAATGTGAGGGCATCTTTAATTTCCCAAAAATTGCTGCCAGCAGGATGATTGCTTTTAACATATTAAGGATTTCCTTCCCTTGGCCCCTAATGGTGTCCCTCCCACCCACAATGAAAAGGATCCCAACAGAGCATTGAGAAGGGGACTGGACTGCAGTTTTTTTCCAAAAATTGCCATGATAGAGAGTGTCGTTAATCTTCCGTGGCAAAAATTGCTGAATTTCTGCCAAAGATTTTGCAAACCACAACAAAGCAATTTAAAGGGGCTATGTTCCACACACCTCATGACGGACGCTACACGGAAGCTTGGGCTAAATAAAATGATTAGGTGAGCAAACACAGCAACACTATTGAAATCATACATCCCTGCTCACCAGCCCGAGAATCTGGTCCAAATGGACAAACCGCCGTTCGTCATGATTGTCAACCGATACTGCTCTGTCAGTTGTAAGGATGGAAGAAACATTTTGGTATTCTTTCCTTCCAGATTTTCAAAACATCTATATTCAAAAGCAATGGCAGTTCCTTTCTTGTCTTCTAAATTGCTTGCAATTTTTATTAAATGTTATATTCTTTCCAGGGTACTCTGAGCTTCCCTTACCTGTACAGATTTTGCCCGCTATGGTACGAAGGTATAATTATGGCAAGGAATACATTGTGTGTGATGTATTTCCAGAATGAAGCTTTTTTACTGCACTGCAGATGAATACCATATTCCTTCTCCACCTTTCAACACAAGAAATGTAGTCTCCTATTACCACAAAATTTAAAAATATTTTTATTTCATGCATCTGGGGCAGGTCAAAGAGGAAGCATTTACAGCATTTAAGTTACATTCAATGGTGTGTCTCACATGCCAAAATAGGAGTATCACGTTTCTGTCTATCAACAAATCTTTTCAGAGCCATAATAATTTACAATATATTTAAAGCTATCCGTACAAGGCAGTATGAAACGTATCTCAAGGATATAGAGTTCTAACAGTGGTATTTATATTACAAAGAACCGAAAAAACGGCCAGTTTTAAAACCAGGTTTCAGCAAGCAGGTCATGCATCGTTCACGTTATGATCTGGCACTTCATTTCTCTTGTGCGAATGAATCAAGGATATGATCTTTTGACATGGCATTTTACACATCAGTGCACAAACAGGAAAAAAAACATGGGATACTCTACTCTAAATGCACAAAAATCAGTTAGTTTTGTGTTTTGAGACCCTGATGGGCAACCACTACACCTAGGTCCATGTGTAGGATGTTGTTAGAAGGAAGGAAGGAAGGAAGGAAGGAAGGAAGGAAGGAAGGAAGGAAGGAAGGAAGGAAGGAAAGTAACAGGAATCCACAGGTATGGTTAACAGAGTCATAGCAAATAAGGTAGTAGCCATTGTTTCTGCCAATGTTCCAAATAGGCTCAGATAATTAGGATCCAAAGGAAGGAAGAAGGAAGGAAGGAAGGAAGGAAGGAAAGATGGATGGACGAATGAAAGGAAGGATGGACGAATGGATGGACGGACGGACAAATGGACGGAAGGAGTCACAGAGAGAGAGGAATGGGCTACGGTCCACCCACTTCAATGGCCTTCAACACTGCTCACCTCTGCCTTAAGGCCTTCTTCTCTTAGAGCAAACAGACATGTCCCATTTTACTGGCAACCAAATTTGCAGCCACGGCTAGCTTATTCCCTAGACCTTTTACCTCATTTAGTATATACCCCATGAGTTCCCAAGTTTTAGAAGGCATTCAAGATGTCAAGTATCAGAACGAAATACATTACTTATAACAAAGCCCATTAATGAGTGACTTCCACCTCCCCTCTTCCAATCAAAGAATAACAGTGATTTCCAGTTGTCTTGGTGGACAAAATCCCAGGAGAATCTCTTGTCCTGGTCACAGCCTCCACATCTAAACAACCACTTTAGTGCTCAAAGTATTGCTCGTTTCCTTATTTAGCACCATACCACTTAGATGGTGGCACAACACAAAATTTACAGCATTTCTCTTTTACCATAAAAAATACTGTAAGGAGGGCAGGCTATTTCCGTCTGAAGAGCTGAACTGCCTCCATAACAGATGAGAAGCTAAAAATAATTAATATTAACACCAAGAGTATCAGAAGCCACATTCCGTAACTCCAGGGACAGATATCCCAAAGGATGAGTGAATATGCATGTGTAAGGGAATGGCTGCTAATTAATAAGCTGCCAGTCATGGCCCTGGATGCATGCCTGTTGCACGACAGAGCACACGCGCAGAAACACAATTGGCACCCTTGCTACTATGACTTAACACAATTTCACCTATGCACATGGAAATCACCAACAGGATTTTGGCTAGAAGCGTTTTGGTCTTTAAGCTATCAGGGTCTGCAGGCATGCCTACATTATGAATTTTAAACACACCTGGGGTTGCAGACCCGTGGAAAGAGGGAATCTCTTCACCAAACTGTAAAACTGCATTCCATGGCCTTTGGGGGGAAAACTGCCGTGGTTAAGCCCATTTCCAATCAGCTTAAATTAGATGTTCAAATACATCGATAAAACGGCATGCAGAGAGATTCGTTTGAGGGTGGGTCTATAAAGATGGTTAACTTGCAAGTCTTTTCTTTTCCATATATACAGGGTACAGTCCTGGGAATGAGAGTGCCATATTTTTCAAAAGAATTCCCGCCATAAGTTTGGAATTAACCTTCTGAAAGGCTGGGAATCTTTAGAAATGCTTACTGGGGTATGTGACTGGGTTAGATCCAGACTTGACGCAGACACACCAAAATCATAGGAGCTTAAGTTAGTTAAGGATCCTTGCTTCTGGTGGGTTTCTGTCAAGTTTAATTCTGGATCCAAGCCATTAACTACCGACTTTTTGGTCCGACTTGTTCTCTTTTGTATAATTCACATCCCTGCAAGAGAGTCTGACAAAACAGAAGCAAAGGCACCTGAGAAGTAATTCACATCTAGATACATATAAACAGAGGGGAGGTAAAAAAACAAGTCAGATGTTTGAAGGGAGGTTGCCAAGAAAGAGGGACCACCATCTCCGTAAAGAGTCACGCAAAGGATCAATGCCCCACTTTGGGTAACTGAGGTCAAGTTCAAGTCAGCTGAGTTGGATACAGAAACAGGGAAATAACGGGAAAAGGCAAATTCAGTGAATACGGGGAAAGACGACAACGGTGTGATGGAGAAGACAAGTGGCTGTCTCAGAGTTTCTAGGACAAACAGATATCCCGGCTTAACTATCCTTGAGTTGATTTGAACAGTTATACATTCAAGGGTCGGATCGAAGGCAGAAACGGGGTTGTGGGAAAACGAGTATACTTTGGTTAAACCGGATGCTTTTCCTTCTCTTCTCCTCCATCCGTGGATAACTAATCTAGTAAGGGATAAGAGGGCTGTTTCGTTGCAGCGGTTGGAAGTCCACAGTGCAGCAAAACACACAGAAACCAGGGAACGACCCAGAGAAATAAGCAGAGGGGTTATATGGCTGATACCTCCTGGAATTGCACACAGAAGCTGGTCCCTCATGGGAACAACTCCTGTAAATGTGACCAAGCCCTCCAAGGCCATCTCACCGACGTTGGAAACGAGAGCTTCGGAAAATAGGTCACATTAATTGCCCTACCCATGCAAAACATTTTGACATTTCCATCCTCCAGCATTAACATTTCTCCCGGCGCTCCCCACGGACCAAGAATGAAATCCAGATGGCAAGGGCTGGGATCGGTACTCAGTGCTCCGGCTATTTGATGCAAGTGTTGTCCGTCCTGACACGGCAGCTAGGGAATTACTTCTCTTAAAATAAAATAAGAACTAGTTTACCATGGTTAGCACTTAAAATCACAGCAGAAGATTTTCTCCTTACAAAGGTCTGGACCAGAAGCTCCAGCGCAGTAAGGCACACAGGAAGATACCAGGAATAAGTACAGAGAATATTTACTTGCTGTACATATTTACATCGTGCTCACCAGAACATAAACGTAGGCATTCAGCAGTCAAACGGACAGAACGTAAGCGTGGCCGTCAAAATAGAACTGTGAAGGGCGCACTCACCAGCCTCTTAATTTATACGACCTCCAACCCATCACATAAGTGGTTCACCTCATGGTAGTTAATTCCACAAGGCAGTGACTAAATAATAACTCCACCTGCACCAACCAATTGTCAATTACATTTCTTCTTCTTAACGACCTAACAACCATGTGGGAACGTTCACACATCAGTAACATATGGGCTTCCTCCTCTTTAATCCCCAAGGCCTTATAGTCTAAGGTTGTTTTTTTTTACTATCGTTTCAGCTCACAGTTGAAACTGATTTATGACGTTCTCTAAATCAGGGGTCCCCAACCTTGGGCCAAGGCTTTATAGTCTAAGGTTTTTTTTTTTACTATGGTTTCAGCTCACAGTTGATTTATGACGTCCTCTAAATCAGGGGTCCCCAATCATGGGCCTCCAGATGTTCTTGGACTACAACTCCCAGAAGCCTTCAGCACCACCTCTACTGGCCAGGATTTCTGGGAGTTGAAGTCCAAGAACATCTGGAGGCCCCGCGGTTGGGGACCCCTGCTCTAGATCCATGAGAACTAACTATTCAGTTTTTAAAAGGGGGGGGGATGCTATCTTCCTTCTTTTAAGCATTACAGCTGCTGTGCCCTCTGTTTGGTGAAGTATCAGATGATGAAGATATGGGAAAGATTAAATAAGCGTTCTGATGGATGAAATCCCTGTCTTGGTTCTGTTCAGTTTCTCCCTCTTTTTTTTTTCCCTCCTGGTTCTAAATTTATTTTGGCCCCTATTCCATAGGATTGTTCTAAGGATACAGAAAATCTCATATTTTCTTCCACAGCAACTTTTGCTAATATGCACATGTTTTGAAAGCAAGATTTCCTTGCCTTTGTGTGTAATTTCCAGTAATATGTACATTTGTGTATTTATATTCTCCTGATATGTGCATTTTGGACGGATTCTTTTAACGGGATGACAAAGACCCGCTATTCAATTTAGTATGAATTATGGCTATATGAACATTCAGAGTGAATAAAAATTTCTCCCTTATCCTGAAGCACAAGAGAAAACATAATATCAACAAAGTAAAGTATATGAAAAGTATACAGACTTGTCTAGAATGCAAAACTAACTTAAATGGTTTGGACTGTAATTTGATACAGACTCTGGAGGTGAGGATGTAAGGTAGCAGAGGGGTATGAATATACGACACATTTCCAAGAGGTTGCCAAAGTGTTATTTAGCAGCATCAAGTGAGAAGGGGAGATGGCCAGACCCACTTATTTTGCCCCAACTGGTTGGCGTGTCAGGACTCCCTTCCCTTTTTTGGACCCATTAAGACACCTTTGGGCTTTTTACCTCTCTCACAAACAGAGAGTCTACACCAAGCAATTCACTATGGAAGTGCCACGGAACATCCATAATGTCTCGGCTTTCCTCACTACGTATTTTTACATGGATACAAACACCAGCAGCACACACACTCCCCTTAGGCTATGCCGTGCGGGATGTCAAGACTGTATCTCCCACTGGAAATATATTTTTGGTAGACTACGGCTGTTGGCCAACTAAAATAACCACACTTTAATTTTATTTCATAGGAGCTCAGTTGATGACCTAACCAATCCGTTTGCACAAATGTACAAAGCCACTGTAAAATTTTTAAAAACAACTCTTTACTATTAGATGAGACACAACTGTGTCAACACATGCACCATTTTAGAAGAGGCGTTTTCCAGATCTCTCCTGCACCGAGAGAATGCCTCTTTTACAAGAATATACTTTCTTTCTGCGCGTTAAGAAGTCACCGCTTCTTTTTCGTGCGACACAGCAGTCCACAGGAAAAAAGAAGCTCCGACTTCTTCACGGGCAGCAATTCGCTGCTGAAAAGTTAGGCCGCTGGAGTTTCACAAGGGTAAATGTTTAACAGGATTCTGGCCATTATATCAAAAACCTGCTGCCCAAACGTTGTGGGACACTTTTTTTAAATCAACAGAAGTAATGAATGACTCAGTCAACTGATCCATCAACTGAAACACGCTGCTCGAGTAGCACACTATTTTTAAATATTATTTCCACCTCGGGCTCATGGTTTTCTGGTAGTATCCGTATGTGAATGGACCCTGCCAGATGGAAGCGGGCAAAGTCAAGCTGCAAACGGTAAACGCCCAAGTTGCCCCTGGTTCACCCCACACCAAGAGCCCCAAAGAAAAATGGCGAAATGTACGGCAGAAGTACAAAGGTACAGCCCCGATGACAAGGGATTGGAATGAAGGCTGAAACCCATTTCTCTAGAATAAGTCGGTTGGCTAGACCTAATTATTTTGGGCCAAGGGAAGGAGAAACAGCTTGGGAGGCATCCTATAGAGTTCTACATTTCCGTAGCATTCCCTTGTCTGGGACTGCTTTGTGCCCATTTTCCTGACTTGGTCACGCTGGAATAGATCCTTGTTTTGGTTCTTCCTTGATTATAATGACCTCCTGAGATACAGAACAATTCTTTTCTAATTCCCCTGCCCCCTAGAGTGGGAGCTCGTTCTATGTGCCTCAGACTTCCTGTTCTTACTCATCATGGCTTTTCCGTTTCCAGAGAGAAGCAGACCGAAGCGTTGTGCTTTCATGCTGGATTTATTCGACTTGTTTCATACCGGGTTCCCTTTCAACGGTCACCAAGCAGGCAGAAACAACCCCAGCGGGTTCTGCAGACACCTGTCGCCCATTGTGCTGTGTTCGGCCATTTTTATCCCGCACTTCCTAGTCAACTGAGAAGAATTCCAGCTGTCCACTCCCTCGCCGTGTCCTTTAGTGCAGGTCCAGTCCATTGCACTCTGTTGAGAAGGCTATACAAGCAGACAGTCCGCCGGCGTTCATAAGGCAACAACACAGCTCGTGGCCAACGTTGCCTCCGTCCCCCAATTTCTTCTGTTGTGAAAACCTGTCAGCCGCCACAAAGTCAAGATGGCAGTAAGTGATGCTTAGCAGACTTGGCAAGATGGCCGCTGCTCGGCCAACAAGGCATGGCTGGCAGCGACGCGGCACATTTGGGGAGTAACCCAAAACAGGAAGCTGAGGTTGAACTGAGAAGCGTGCAGGCCTTCTTTGTCGATAACTCCTAGGTTCTCGTGTGGATTCCTGGTCTTTCTGCGTTTCTCCCACCGGAAGCCCTGCTAGAGGCTAAAACTCACGAAAGGATGCCTCAGGAGGTCTTCCGCTGTCGGCCTTCGCTTCTCCTCCACAAAGATCAACTTGAGGAAGCTGCGGCAGTAGTCCGAAACACCGTCGGGAAGCTGGGGCTTGGTGGGCTGGGTCGCGATCTTAAAAATGGCGGCCATGGCTTCAAATTCTGCCCAGGGCGGTTTCTCTGTCAACATCTCTACTACGGTGCAGCCCACGCTCCTGGAGAAGAACACGAGCAAAATAAAAATCAGGAAGGATTCAAAGGTCCAGAACCACCATATTTGTTTTAGGGCTTCGTCTCCACAGGAATAACATTTAATCCCAACTTGTCATTGCTGACAAGCTTGGTGAAGAGAAGAGCAGATCTTACTGAGATAATTCTTAAGAAGGAACACCAGTCTCCTAACAACAAGAATAAGAGAAAAGGCAGGAAAGGAATTGCTGAGGGTTGCTTCCTCCCATCCCTCCCTTTTTTTAAAATCATCATCATCATCTTAGAACTGCAGAGATGGAAGGGACCTTATGGATCACTGAATCCAGTCCCAATCAAGGACGCATAAGTGGGGAATCGAACTCCCAACCCTCTGGTTCTGCACCCAGAGAGACCTAAACCCCTGAGCTCTCCTACAGTGTTTAGTCTGTGAGGAAATGACGTAACGTTCTGCCTGTCGGAGGCAAAGAAGACAACAGTGAATCCCTTTTTAACAAAGTAAGAGGCCTTTTACCCTATGAAAGAAACCCAACTTTCTTGCTGCATCTAATCTTCTAGACTCGTGATTTTGTCGCTGCTGCTGCTGTTACTTGAAATCCATTGAAAGTTTCACACTGGAAGCTACGACTGCGGAAATATATAGCTTTCTCTGGGACAGTACAAACTTCGCCCTACACCACAAAGAAGCAAGATTTAACCTCTGGGATTAAAGAGCTGCTTACCACACATCAGCCTTCCTTCCATAGCCTTCCCCGCTGATCACCTCCGGACTCATCCAGTACGGCGTCCCCGTGACCGATTTCATCCCCGTTCCAGACATGCAGATTGTCTGAATGCGTTTGCTGGCACCGAAGTCTCCCAATTTTACATTCCCAGCAGAATCTCTCAAGATGTTGGCACCTGAGGAAGGTGAAGAAACGGCTGAGGAAGAAAAGCCGAGGGATCCTGTTGTGCAAGACACGGTGCCCGACCAGCCATTCCCTGGAATAAATTGGCTCTCTCTCCCTACAGGTTTCATAGGACTTAAGAGTGAATCATACAGACGGATGGGTCAGCAGGGGCTTGGGGAGCCATGCTTATCCCAAAGTCAAAGTCAGCTGCTGTATCATCAAAGTGTATCTAAATGTTGGGCTAAATGCGGCATGCCACCCTGCATGACCTTAACTCTAATCCTGCTGTAAGGGGTTCTGAACCCTTCTTCAACATCCTTTACATTAACTTCAGTGGGTTTTCAGCATTACATAAGTGTCTGTTCCCTTCATCAATTAGAGTATTTGACAACATTCCGTAACGTGACAGAACTCTTGCCAGTGGCTGCCGGTGTAATGTCTATGTAACAGACATTTCTGTATTATGCTTATGAGTTGTAACAGAGCCTCCGTTGTTTACACAAAAGCATTCCTGAGCTCCACGTTAAGTCAAAATGCTTTTGCTCTTTTCGGTTCACAAATGTTCACTGTAAAATATGATTTTAGGCACAGCTAATCTACGCAAGTGAAGCATTCTCTTGCGATCTGCATTTACCTTTGATATCTCTGTGTACAATCATGTTGCTGTGTAAGTAGAAAACGCCTTGTAGGATCTGCCTGGTGTACTTTCGAGTCACGTTTTCTGTTAGGGCGCCGTAGGCTTTCAGCTGGTCTTTGATAGAACCCTTTAAAAAACGGAAGAAAGACCGTTTAGCTGGCAGTGCAGTTTATGACTGTGACGACGCAGTCTGGACACTGTGGCCAAAAAAGAAAGATAGAAAGTAGGACCGCCACATACATGGTATCAGTATCCACAGTTTCACTTTTCTGTGGTCTGAAAATACTAAAAATACAAAAACAACAAAAAACTAGAAATATGTATTTCCATGATGTAACTACCGCAACTGGCCACCAGAGGGAACCAGAGACAATGGTAAAGATAGGGTTCGCTTTTATCCATGGGTTTTAGCATCCGCAGGGGTGCTTGGGACTGATCTCCCATCGGTACTGCGCTCATACTGTAAAAAATAAAAATAAACACTAGGTCCAGTGCAGCTGGAACCCTATTTGCATGGACGTGTCATTTGTGGGAACCACGGTGCATAGGGATTTTGGGGAATTGTAGTCAAGCCCTTCTGTTTTTCATTTGTTTGTTTGTTTGCTTTTTGCTACGTTGGCTTCTTTGCCATCCAAACGAATTAAGTTCCTCAACCTCTGCTACTGCCTCCCTCCAGAATGCTAAATATAACTGCTTTGATTTGCTGAATGGTGGCAGCTTTAAAAAATAGCTGTTCCGTGATCAGAATGATGGCACCTGTGGGTGTCAGCTGGCCACAGGGGGGCGCCATCCTCAGTGCCCTGCGTCTACTGAGGCTGCTGGACAGGTCTGGGAGTACATCATGTACCGATCCCTTTCGCTGTAGCTACAAGAGAAAACAGTCCATGACGGCCAAATGGAAATAAACTCTCATATGACCAATGCACTAAATTTTTTGCAGGGAAAAAAAAACAAATAGGACCATCTGTGTCACTCGGAAACCAACACAGCTCAGCTCCATGTGCTTCCTGGTTGGAAAAAAAAATGCAAAACAAAACAAACCCGATTTAAAAAATTCTTTTGTTGTCACAGAGGTAACAACCGACGGGCCAATAACTCCATGCAATTCGTCCTCCCTCTCTCACACACACACTTGATGAGAGGCCATGTGTGGACCTTCGACTGGAAGTGGAACATTTTTCTGAGCCCATCTCCCCTAAACTGCTATGGAGTGGGATCTACCCTGGTATGTGCTCTAAAACTAGATCATAGGACAAAATGTCACAGTGGCAATCAAGAAGCCTGTTGTCGGAAGCGACGATATTTTTCTGGGATTTCCTCCATGACAAAAAAATTAGTTTAAATGTCATGAGGTCTTAGCTGTAGTACTGGAGAAACAGAATACAGTGGTGCCCCACATAGCGACGATAATCTGTTCCAAAAAAATCGTCGCTATATGGATTCGTCGCTATGCAGGGCAAAAAAGCCCATAGGAACACATTAAAACATGTTTAATGCGTTCCTATGGGCAAAAAAACTCACCGTTATGCAGAAATCCTCCATACGGCTGCCATTTTTGCTGCCCGGTAAGCGAGGAAAGGGTGGCCATTTTTTTACCCGGAGGCCATTTTGGAACCACCGATCCGCTATTTAAAAAAACATCATTATGCGAAAATCGGTAAGGAAAACGCTTACTGATCATCGCAAAGCAATGTTTACCCATTTAAAACATCGTTATGTGGTCGCTTTTGCGATTGCAAAAAAAACATCGCTATGCAGATTCGTCGTTAAACGAATCGCTCGTTATGTGAGGCACCACTGTATCTATCTATCTATCTATCTATCTATCTATCTATCTATCTATCTATCTATCTATCTATCTATCTATCTATCTATCTATCTATCTATCTATCTATCTATCTATCTATCTATCTATCGCCAGGATCTGATCCCTATTAAAACGTCTGTCCAGACAGGACAGCTTTCGAAACGGTTTGAAAGTTGGGTTGGGCGGGGCACAGGGCAAGTCATAGGGGCTGCAGGCTGCCAGGATTTGATCCCCATTAAAACGTCTGTCCAGGCAGGATAGCTTTCAAAACGGTTTGAAAGTTGGGTTGGTCAGGGCACAGGGCAAGTCATAGGGGCTGCAGGAAGAACTTTGGTGGTGGAAAGAGAGGAGAGAGACGTGGACGGAAACCTACAAGGGAAGGAAGAGGAAGAAAAGGCATGGCCACATTCGGTTCTGGGTTCCAAACTCTCATCACCATTTGGCATGCTGGGAGATCTCAGCTCCTTAAATACTCTGTGCTTTTCAAAAAGACAAACAATCCACGCACATCCATGCAGGCTGGCTTACCCCTGGCATGTATTCAACAAAGATGGACAGCTTCCTCTCTTCGGGGTCCCGCAAGCAGCCATAATACTGTACTATCCTCTCATGGCGGAGAGTTTTGAGCAGCTGAATCTCACATTCTAAGGCATTTACTTCCTGCATTGAGACAAAAACAGGTAAGAAGGAAAAAGGAAGGGCTACGGGTATCGCTTGTCACTACCAGGTTTGCGGGGGGCCAGACATATCCAGCGCAAACAGCGGCATGATATTCTCAAAGTCCTGATAAACAAAACCCAGCTTTCTTACAACGTTGACAAGCAATGTTGTGATCTTTCTTTCTTGGTATCGCAGTGTGGCACAATTTAAAACTGTGGGCACACACGAAATATAGATAAAATTAAAGATAAGTTTAAATGTTAGCATATTTTTGATCAGAAGTGGGCTATTTCTATAGCGTTACGTTGGCCATTTCCTAGATCTTCTTTCATACACGCGGCGGGGCATAAATTACAGGCACATTAAGTGCCAAGAAGAGAGTATCCAACCTGGCCTTGATTATCATCCTTATTTTTCAACGTCCTTCATGCTAAGCAACCACCAAACTTTGAATACTTGTTATTACTTTATTTTCTGGACAAAACAGCAACAACCAGGAGCCACAGAGATGGATTGCTCTGAAAAATGTCTGGGGGAAAAAAAGCCACATTCCATCATGCTCCTTCTTTGCTACAACATGAATTATGAGGCTGCCGTCTCCTGAAAAGTCCAGGAGTGTGATGTACTTCAAAAACGTCCCAGCGTATAGAGAACGACAGTCGCAGTCTGTCCGGCTGCTGAGAGGGTCAACTGGACCTCTTCTCTGTGAGTCCCCACCATCTTGCCCTGGAGAGACCTTTTCAAACCTCGGCACCCACATCTGGAATGCTTTCCCCAAGGCAGTTTGCTATGCTGTCAACAACCTCTTTTCTTTTCTCTGTCATTTCTGAGATTTCTAGGCCTTTTAAAGGGATTCTGCATGGTCTAATCCGATGCCTGTTACAGTGGTGCCTCGCATTACGACGTTAATTCGTTCCAGCAAAATTGCTGTACAACAAAAACGTTGTAAAGCAAAAATAAAAAAGCCATTGAAACGCATTAAATCCTGGTTAATGCATTCCAATCGGCTAAGAACTCACCGCCCAGCAAAGATCCTCCGTAGGGGCGGCCATTTTCGGGTGCCTGTGCAGCGAAAAATGGCTCCTAAACATAGCGGGGAGCCATTTTGAGCATCCGGTGGCCATTTTGAAACCCCGACGATCAGCTGTTTTGATCGTCGGGAAGCGAAAATCGGTCCCCATCTCTAATCGGAACCTACTCAGGAAGCATTTGCTGCTAAAGATGTGGCCTATAAATCTGTAATAAGATGCATTAGTAAAATACTTCAGGGAAAATGCATTATGCTCCCTTTCATCATGGACAAATACATGGGAATAGATTCAACAGACATGGTTTTAGCAGGGGTTTTATGCTGATCCAGGGGTTTTATACTCACTTTGCTCGTCTCTTGGCTGTCGGGGTCAAAGGGCACCTGCTTGACAGACAGCTCCCGCCCAGTGTCGACGTCATAGCAAAGGTAGACTTCTCCGAATGCCCCTCGGCCGAGTAGCTTTCCAAGCCTCCAGTTGACCGGGGCCTGCAGGGCTAAAGGGGAGATGGAAAACATTGTCAGGAAGATCAGCCAGGCGTGCGAAGCGCAGATCAGTGTTAAAATCGTCATCTTGCAAGAAACAGTTTGCGAAGCAGGGACCCAAACATCGTCCAGTGAAAATCGCCCATTGGAACCACTGATTTATGAGAAATAAATCAATCGCTATAGTGATCGCAAAACCTCATCGTCATGCAGATTCGTCATTTTGCTAGGTCATCGTCTAGCGAGGTACCACTGTATGATGAATAATTCCGTCATTGGCCAAGTGTAGTCCTCTTATATACACTAAGTCTATGTGGAAACATAACGTTGTGTGGAACGGAGAAACACAACACTAGTCCTCCTCAGATCAGTTGGGGGTCTGGTTCTGCATTTCAGCAGTGAAGAAACACCCTCGCAAGCCAAATCTGAACAGCTCTTTTAACAGTTCATTCAAAGTCTAAATTAGCAAATTTACTGTCCCCCAGGGCTCCATCTCTGGATGAAGTTTAAGCAATCCTGGTCAGAGTTAAGTGTTACCAACAAGGCACAGATCCAGAAGAGGCCTGTCAAGAATCACCACCAAAGAGAAAACGCACTAGGAGGTAACTTACTGTTCCTCGTCTTGGCCGGAGAAGAGCCGAAACCTTGGAATATCTTGTCGCAGTTGGCCCACCACTTGTTACCCCCACGTTCCTCGTACCGCAAGGTGACAAGCTTGTTGTCCCCATTGAAGCTCTTTGTCCGGCTGGACGGCAGAAGCTGGAACAAGTTCTCCGGAGGAACGTAACTCCTGGGAAAGGTTCTTCGGCCTTTGAGAGAAGAAGGGAGAGGGGGAAATGGACCAAAATCACATCCAGATGAAATGCAGAGTATGTTGCCGAACCCTGCCTGAGGCCTGTATCCGCGGACAGTATTTTGCCAGTTTCAAACTAAAGAGGGAACAAATCTCGTCCTCAAATCTGGAATGTATGACATTTTGCTTTCTTCAATGCATGGCATGAGACACCTCTGTTTGTTTCAGTGCATGACATTTTTAGCCATTATTTCTAGCAGATTTATGGTGCAAACATGTTAAAGATGCAAATGCATGGAAAAGGCCCCTGACTAATTAGCCAATTAATCCTTAGGATTAGCCGTTAAACCAGCATTTTTTACAAAATCTTTGCACACAGAATATTATTTTAAATCCGCTTAGGTCCTCTTCCAAACCAGGAGCAATCACCTGTTCCTTGACAGCAATCACCTGTTTCTTGATACACAGGACCGTGTATAGCAATCTGCTGCATGTGAATTATTGACGCACCAGGGATAAAGATTCTGTACCGGATGTAAAGCACTCACGGGAACAGATCAGCACAAGGCAGAAGCAATGCCTGACTTTCTCCATATCGCATTGGGATAAAAGAACAGCGAGGCGGTAGTGATCCCTAACAATCAAACGTCGATTCCTGAGAGTCCACCATCAGCAGACACCCAATCTATTTAAACAGAGGTAATGGGTGGGGATTCCCAGTGTGGTGTAGTGGATACAGCGATGGGCTAGGATTCCGGAGAATAGGGTTCGAATCCTCACTTTATTTGTGCGTTTTATTTGAATTGGATCGTTTGCTTTTACCTGCTGTAAACCACTCAGAATAGAGCGTCACACTAGTTGGTCGGTAATTAATTTAATTTGGCAATTAATTTAAGAAATAAATCATAAATAAGCTGATAAAACCTCTCATTAACTCTCTCACCGACCTTGAAAGCCCCATTAGGGTCACTTTAAGTCGGTTGTGACTCGACAGCACAGAACGCAATAGATGGGGTGATGGTGGTGGTTATAGAGATACTTTATTTTTCCATGTATAAGACGCCCCCATGTATAAGACGCCCCCAAATTTTCTAATCCAAAATTATAAATCTATGTGGGACTTAGCAAGTGTAGGGGTAAAGGGATCAAAGTGTTGCAGGATCACTTTGATCCCTGCTTTCCCCTCTACTTGTTTTTGTTCTCTCCTCACCTTACTGAGATGACCCTCAATTTCAGTCTAAAGATTTTAGACAAAAGTATAGTCTTATACGCAGAAAAATACGGTAATATCAGCTTCAGGATTTTATCCCTCTCAAACTCTACATAATAACATCCTCAAGAAGCCCCATGGTTTGATACATCCCAAATCTGCAATTCATCACCGAACGGCGGTACGCTCTTCCCGAAGAAACCACCTTACCATCGTTGTAGTCTTTACGGCTCTGGGAGAGATGGTATTGTCTTGGGAACGTCCCTCCTTTCCCAAATCTCTCGCAAAACGGGATGTCGAAATCTTTTAAAAGGGCAGAGACAAAGTTTTTAGAAAAAGAAAACCAAGACCTTTTTTCATGCTCTACCCACGACACACCTGCCCTGCCAAAATCCAAGACACCAGGCCGCCCCTATTTCAAAATGGTACACACGCCAAAAACGAAGGTCGGCCAGGTTCACGCCAAATCCTGAGCCATATTTTGGACTGAGCTAAAGAGAGCAGGACACATTGCATGCTCTTTGATTCTTTTCAGTCCCCATGGGCATGAGGAAATGTTGCCACCTTTACGTTGGGCTCTTCTTTAGCCGTGGGATTCCATTTTTAAAAAAAAAACTGTAGAAAATGTTTTGGGGTGGTGCTGGTGGTGGAATGGGTAGCTTGTCCTTAAACTCAAATCCCACTTTCAAAGGCTGTAGGTGAAGATACAGACCGTGGGCTGTCTCTCAGAGAGAGGAGGGATGGTTCAAATGAAAGCAGGAAATAGGCACAATGGCCAATTTGAAAAAACACCACACATTCCCCAAAAAGAACATGCAGGAGAGATCACACACACCAAGCAAAAGGATCTGCTGGCGTTGGACCAACGGAAAAGGAAAAAAAAACAGCAGACATAGTTGGCTAGTTCAACAGAAGCAAAGAGGTTGATCGTGATCTTCCACTGTTTAATTCACCCAGAGCCACATTGGAGTTCATCCATAAAGCCCCCTTATCCATCCCCTCTCTCTCATCCAGCAGGACCAGCCCTGCCATTAGATAGAGTGGCATCGTTTAGGATGTCCTGAAAAGAGAAGCCGGGGGCTCCTTATTCCCTTTCTAATTATCTGGTTTTCCTGCCACAGGGGAAAAGAAGGACTCCTGAGAAGTTGGGGGGGGAGGGTGGCCCTTTAAGCTACTCTGCCTCAGTTGGCAAAATGCTGTGGGTCATCACCGCCACACAAATAAACCTTCCCAATGAACTGTACCGGTCAGCAGCTTACTGTTCTTTCTGGTTATGTCCTTCTCCCCCACTGGGGGAAAAAAAGGACCTCAATTTTCACAGCTTGGGGTGTGCATTTCAACACCTCCCTCCTAGAAACCCGACATGTGGATGATGGTTGTATAAAAGAATCGGAGCCACGGACCAACGGGGACGATGAGAGCCACGTCCTTGTGGCCCCAGCAAAGGGCTTTTTTTTCCCCCTCCAAGAGAAAGCGGAGCATTGCAACCCAGGGGGGTTGCAACACTCTGCTTTCTCTTGGAGAGAAAACTTTAAAACTTTAAAAAAAACGTTTAAGCATATTAAAACTTTACTCATTCGCCTGGCCTTATTCGGAACTCGGATTCCATGGCTTAAGCCAGCACCACTGCAACAGGCCAAATATTGTCTTTTCATCCTCTGGGCCCCCTGCCATCTATTCATTTTTTAATAGCAGAGGTCACTACAATATAACAATGATGAAATTTTCCATTATTTCACCCACTGCACATGTACGCTCAAGCAAAGATTTCGGCCAGAGAGAGAGCGAGAGAGAAAACTCTCTTAAGTTTGCATGTAGGGTTTTGAAGTCTGGGAGTCGCAAATGTCCTAGTTCTCTAAGCTGAGGCGCCCCATTTTTGTCATGGCCATGTTGCTCCGGCGCTAAAAGGCTCTAGTCCTCAGCTCAAATCTGCCATCGTGCCTTGCATGCACAAACTTATAAAAGAAATCTCTCCAGCTTTCCCTTAAAAACTGGTAAGGTTCGGCATGAACCAGAATTTTTTTTTAATGGATTCGTGTGCTGTGTTGCTTTTAAATGTGCCGTCTAGTCTTGATTTTATTTACCATGTTCATGTAATATTTGTTTAGTTCCTTTTTTAAATATTTGTATACTTACTGCTTTTAAATGCTTTTTTAATGATGCAAGCCGCTTTGGGTCCTTTTTTTAAGGAGGAAGGCGAGATAACAATATTTTAAAGAAACAAATAAATAAAATAAACATTCTTGGGTGGGGAAACTTCTCACTTAACGTCAAGCCCTTTAGGGAACCACCCCTGTCTCCAGTAATTACCGAGGCAATCAAGACTGTCTTTGGCTTCTCTCTTCCGTCTTGAAACAGGCGTTTGGCTAAAGGGTGGGCTGTCGGGAAAGAGGAAAAACTACATGAGATCCAAGCTCATAAACCTAGCCATAGGCAGTGCTTATCCTGAGATGACAAGGGCTGACAAAATAATAAGACCGCAGATCTATATGACACTTCTGAGACTACTCAGAGTAATTAATGTCTATACTGCATATAGCTGATATGATAACCAGGCATAACAGATTACCACCACTGTCAATTTTCAGTAATTAAAGACCTCCTCCTCACGTCCTGCAGCTCCCCAGGTTCCCAACAAAGAAAAGGACCCAGAGGGGCTTCACAACAGGAAGAAGAAATGTTTAATTTCCAAAAATTGCCTCCACTGATAACATCCTTAGCTTTATACCAGTGAATTTACACAAACAGGATTTCAGCCATTCTTTCTCAAGTTAACCAATCTGGGTCTCCAACTATTAAGGATAGAAAGGAGACAACTCTAGATTAGAGTTTGCATCCCTTAGACAAAAGGTGAGAGGAAATTAAATAGACTAAAATAAATACAGAATCTCAGAGTTAAGTTTCAGATTTACAGTATTACCTGTCAAGAGGTGGGAGAATTAGTAGAAAATGCTTGAGTTCTTCGGAGAGCTCAGTGGCTAATACAAATTTTATTGATAGTTAATTTACTGTAAACTTGGGAGGATAAAGAATCTCTTGACTGTCACATAACACGTGGCAAGATTTTCTCTCCAAGGGTTGCCTGCGGGTTCTGCAGGCCTGACTCTGATCAGGAGCCGAGAAGGCCGATCAGCTACCTTCAGCACCACGATCTCAAACTATGAAAAACTAAATCCGCTTATGATCTGGTCTTACCTGTCTACAGATCTGTCCAAGGACTGGCAGCTTCCTGAGAGAGAGTCATCTGGACTGATAAAGGGTTCCAATAACTTTTGAGAGAGAGAAAAGGGGATTATGTGAGGAAGAGGTGAAAAACACATGGAAGCAAACCCTGTTTTTGGCAGGTAGAAGCGCAGTGGCACAACTGTGCCGGGGTTTTGTTAAATCTCCCTATAGTGGCATTGGATTTAAGCACGCTAGTAATTGTAAAAATCTTGCACGGATGCAATAAAACAAGAACAGCAGTAAGGGAATGTAATTCAGCCATATTGCTCAGACCCTTCTTTCTAAAAACGCTTCCTAGCTTTTGATAAATATAAAAAATCCCATATGCTCTTTCAAACTTGCCTTGCTGCCATTATTTTAGTAGAATTTGAAATACAGTGACCAAAAAAATTTCAAAAACATTTCTCAATTTTGGAAGCAAGTCAGTCTTCAAATGTCTTTATGTATCAATTAAAGCGTGCCACAGGCCATCATAAGATCATGCGATAAATAGCGTTCTGAGAAAGCAATGTATTTCCCCCTTGTTTACAAATAAAAGATGGTCATGTTGGATATACTTTTTCAAACTACAGGTGCCTCCCCCCTGCAATTCTGGTATACCCCTTGAAGGAAAATCAATGTTATAGACAAATGTGGTGTTTCCAGTCTTTGCCCTGCTCCATCCTATAACTCTTTGGCTCCAGGCACTGCCTCCTTTGCCAAAAACACTGCCAGACAATTGCTATTCATTAATAGGAATAACACTGCTCCTCCATGCATGTGGAAAGACTAACATGATTTGGAGGAAGTGGTTCAAAAATGCTCTTTTCCTGCAAGGCTTAATGTTCACATGCAAAATGGATTCATCCCAATGGTAGTGTTGGAGGAGAGCTTACCACAGATCATCAGCAAAGATGGGTTCTAGATCCAATCAAACCTGAACTCTTTCTAGAAGCTAACAGGGCTCGAACTGAGACAATCAGGTTTCGGAAAAAAAAACAAGACAATAAGGCGAGGAAAAGTGGAAAGCAGTAGGAAAGGAGGGAAAACCCTAACATGACATGGATTGATGCAGAAAAGGAAGCCACAGCCTTCATTCGGAAAGATCTGAGCAGAGCTGTGAATGACAGAACCTTCGGGAGGTCATGCATTTGTAAAGTTGAAAGCAACTGGATGGTACATGACAACACCACAATCCAGAACAAGCATCCAAACTGGTTTGATGGGGTCCCTGTGTGCATGTGCTAGAGAATGACAGATCCTCCATTCAGGAAAATACTTGGTTAGAGAAAAGCCAAAAGTGTTTCATTTCTACGGTGAGGGAAACCCAACCTCTACAGTGGTGCCCCACATGACAACGACCCCCTTAGAGAAAAGCCAAAAGTTTTTCATTTCTACATTGAGGGAAACCCAACCTCTACAGTGGTGGCCTGCATGACAACAATGAAATCGCATGACGATGACTTTTTTGCAAAACGATGTTTCCTATGGGGTTTTTTCACTGGACGTCGATTAGGTCCTTGCTTCGCGAACCGTTTATTCGCAAAATGATGATTTTTCCGGCTCTGCAAAATGGCTGCCCTGTGTTTTCTGGACCCATGCTTCACAGGGCAGCCATTTTAACAGCTGATCGGTGCTTGGAAAATGGCTTCCCCTATGGGTGATCTTCGCTGGACGACGAGGTAATGTCCCCATTGGTTTCAATACATTCCAATGGGGAATTGTTTTCGCATGACGACGATTTCACTTAACAGCGATTTTCCTGGATCGGATTATCGTCATCATGTGGGGCGCCACTGTATATCCTTGCTGCCCACTGCTTAGCAACAAGCCTGCAAATTTCTGAAGCTAAGAAGAAAGGCAGGGCCTTCAACTTACATTTTGGTCCATCATTTCAGGTATAAACTCCCCTTCGCTGTTGATGCTGGTGTAAGAACCCTGCCGGGCAATCTGCTGCTGTTCTTCAGGAACACTCCCAGGGGGTGGAGAACTTCGGCCTGTGTGCAGAGAGCCTGCCAAGGGTGGGAAAAGCATTGAGAAAACAGGACCAGGCATCTTATCTGCCCAGTTACGGTCTGCAAACAGTCTTCACAAAGCAAAGACCCACATTGGGGGATTGCAAGGAAAGACAGAAAGAAGTGGGCACGCTTAAGCCTTAAGAAAAGAAGACTTGAAAGGAGACAGGATAGCACTTTTCCAATATTTGAAAGGTAGCCCTACAGAGGAGGGACAGGATCTGTTCTCCATCATCTCCGAGGGCAGGGCAAATAAAAATGAGATCAAGCGACAGGAAACCAGATTTAGGATCACCATCATCATCTCTGAGGGCAGGGCACATAAAAATGAGATCAAGCGACGGGAAACCAGATTTAGGATCAATATCAGGAAAAACCTCTTAACTGTTAGAGCAGTAACAACAGTGGAACCCATGACCTCAGGGGAAGGTAGTGAGCTCTCCAACGATGGAGATGTTCAAGAGAAAATTGGACCACTCTTGATCAGATCTGCTTCGATTGGGATCCCTGCCTTGAGCAGGGGGGTTGGACTCGATGGCCTTATTTATAGGCTCCCTTCCGACTCCATGATTCTACGATTCTAAGTTTCTCTTTAAAAAAGCAAGGAAGAAGGTAAAAGCCCAAACACGTCTGGTCTTTTCAATTAATGATCCCATCTTCTTACATACACCCTTCGGTGTAACTCTGTCAGCACAGCTCTTGAGTGGCAAACTGCCACCAGTCAAGACATGGGCCCTGGCTTTTCTAGCCACGTGCCAAGTCATGTGGTTCCTTTGTGAGAAGAAGAAAAAACACACCCTGTCTTCATTTCTTAATTGGCAGCAATTCACAGCTCAAAGCTGCACCAGTGGAATTACACCCACTGCATGGAACTACCAGGATTCTGGCCGATATTTTCAACATTATAAAAAGCTGATGGTTCAACGCCTGTTTCACTGTGCATATTTAACATGGTATTTTAATCTGTGTAAATATTTCCGTGGAGGTTATTTCTCCTCTGCATTTCAGGTTTATATGTGTTATTATACCCCAATCTGTGCAGAGTTGGCTAGCAGCTATTTCATGGGTTTGGCTTGTTTATGCACCATCCCACCAGTGGGGCCCCATCCAGCCAAGTTGATCAATGCCAGCTGGCGCTCATTCCTTCCTATTCCAGAGAGCTTTCCTCCAGTCTGGTACTGGAATTATTTTAACAGGAAGAGTCGGGATCTTCTGCAAGGGTGTAAAGTAAATGATATAGCTGACCTAAAGGTAAAGGTTCCCCTTGACATTGAGTCCACTTGTGTCCGACTCTAGGGCGCGGTGCTCATCCCTGTCTCCAAGCCGTAGAGCCAGCGTTTGTCCGAAGACCATTTCCGTGGTCATGTGGCCAGCGCGACTAGACACGGAACACTGTTACCTTCCCACCGAGCTGGTACCTATTTATCTACTCATATTTTTACATGCTTTTGAACTGCTGGGTTGGCAGGAGCTGGGACAAGCGACGGGCGCTCACTCCATTGCGTGGATTCGATCTTACGACGGCAGGTCTTCTGACCTTGTAGCGCAGAGGCTTCTGCGGTTTAACCCACAGCGCCACCATGTCCCTATTATAGCTGACCTATAGCCTTCCTGTACAGACAGATAGGGCAAATACAGCCAACAAACAATACTAAGAACAAAAAAGTGTTCCCCCCACCCCCCCATGTACAAGGCCGTTGAGACATCGTGGTGGCGAAAGTATCAGGGGATGATGAGAACCATCCTGGTTCAAATCACCAGTCAGCTCACATGGTGACCAGGGGTTAATGGTTGCCATCTTAGAACTGCAGATCTGGAAGGGATCCAGTGGATCATCCAGTCCAGCCCCTGCCAAGGAGGCACAACGGGGAATCGAACTCCCAACCCTTAGCTCTTCAGCCAACTGCAAGCTATCTAGCAGTTCCTCTCCCAAATTAACCAATCTCATGGGATTCTCGTGCACAGAAAATGAAAAAAAAAGAAAAGATGCCCCTTGAATTCCTCAGAAAAAGGACAAGAGATAAATCATTATACGTAGAACCATATAATAAGATATATAGGCATTTAATCAAAAAGGTAAACGCAACAAGCCATAGCCTTTTGTGTGCCAGTGTACCACCCTCATCATTTCAATAATATTTAATAATGATGAATTACAGATTATGTATGGCTAATAAACAAAAAGAAAAACCATCATTAATCTTCAGGACATGTAGCAAATTTGCCGCCGTGCTTAAAAAAAGAAACAGGACAAAATAAGAGGGCTTTGTGAGCAGAAAAATGTTTCAGGTTTTTTATTCTAAGTACGTTATGTCCTTTTCCTGCTGGGACCTTTCTGGTTCCTTTCCACTACGCTATTTTAAAGGAATCTGCATATACTGTGGGTGCAGAGAGAGGGGAACATACGACCAGAGCCAGCGTGACCTTGCTTAACTTTACTCTCCCCCTGCATGACCATCAAAGGACCTTTGCCAACTTTGGCTTGGCTTCATTTCCCCCGGTTTCCTCTCCACTGCGTCCAAAAGCTGATCATTGGGGAAATGGCACAGTTCTTGGCATCGGTACTACCCATATCCAACAACGTGGGCAACGGAAGGAAGTACCGTTCCACCAGCTAGCAGGATTGTGCAGCCCCCCCCATCAGAAGACCCCACTGGATTCCAAAAGATCTCCTGTATAGAGAATTAGTGCAGGGAAATCGCCCCAGAGGGAGACCACAGCTGCGATACAAGGACATCTGCAAGCGGGATCTGAAGGCCTTAGGAATGGACCTCAAGAGATGGGAAACCTTGACCTCTGAGCGTTCAGCCTGGAGGCAGGCGGTGCGTCACAGCCTCTCCCAATTTGAAGAGATCCTTGTCCAGCAGGCCGAGGCAAAGAGGCAGTCACAAAAGCAACAAAATCAGGGAGCTGGACAGGGGACAGATTGTATTTTGTGTCTTCAGCGTGGAAGGGACGTTCCCTCTCAAATTGGCCTCCTCAGCCATACTAGACGTTGTTCCAAGACCTCCACAGAGAGCACGTTACCGTAGTCTCTCGAGACTGAAGGATGCCTACATCAGGAGACCTGAACCACTGGAAGTAGACCCAGCTGCACAGACCTGACCTGTCCCCAGACGGAAGAGATGCAACGGCTGTGCCCAGTTAGCACCACGGCGCACCACGTGGAGCCCCAGGGCTGTGGTACTCAAGCTAGGATCTCTAGGGCTCAACTCCCAGCATGGCCAAGATATCTGCCACAAGAGGGAGACTGACGGCAACTCTTGGCGACAAATAGCTTTTGCTCTTCTTGAGAATCGTCAATGACGCTGGCAGGAAAGGAAGTCGTTCTCTGGAGACAGAGGCTGGGGGACAGAGCAGCAGGAATCCTTATGGCTCAACTGCACCTATAAAGGCTTCTGCACGCCCAAACAGGGAAGATGATGTTTAAAAGACAACCGAGGATAATCCCATTATACTTATAGCTTCTTCGTCACCACCATCACAGGATTCTTCTTTCTTGCTTTTGGCTTATTATGCTTCAGCACTGGAATAAGCAGGGCATCCGACAGATAAAAGGCAAAGGTTCCCCTTGACAATTTTTGTCCAGTCATGCCCAACTCTAGGGGGTGGTGCTCATTTTTGTTTCCAACCCATAGAGCCTGCGTTTGTCCGAAGACAATCTTCCATGGTCACGTGACCAGCGCAACTAGACACAGAACGCCATGACCTTCCCACCGAGGTGGTACCTATTTATCTACTCGCATTTTTCACGCTTCTGAACTGCTAGGTTGGCGGGAGCTGGGACAAGTGATGGGCACTCACTCGTCGTGTGGATTCGCTCTTACACTTTGCAGCACAGATGCTTCCGCGGTTTAACCTGCCACCAAGTCCCCTTCAGAGCATCTGATACTTTATAGTAAAACAATCCAATTCTATGCCATTGCTTTTCATGTCCAAGGTCCATCTTTGCACAAGGACGCCTGGCTTGGTAGCAAAACCTAGGGGTTGTGTTTTTCCTTCTCTTACACTCATAAAAAGTACGACTAAGCTTTGTTCAAAGACATTGAAAGTCTTCATTTGCAATATTTTACAGAAGCTTCAAACTCAGCGTGAGAGGGGAACTTCCCACTGCCTGCCTCATAAAAGTTTCCAAACTCCTTAAGCATGTCTCTCTACATATATTAATGTGATTGTATTTTGGGATTTTGAATCAATTCAGCCCAAGCTTCCACATTAAATTCCAGCAGTCCCAACCATCCTGTGCTGAGCGCACCGCCTCCCTTACAGAAGAATAAGAAACGTACACAGTCTGCCAACAAGAGTTTCGCATGCATTCCGAATTCCATAGGCCTGCTTCGGGCGAAAGGAGAAGAAGGGTTGGCAGGCCAGAGAAAAACAGCAGCAGCATTAACTTGGTTCAAGTACAAGATGCTTCTGCAGAGACTCAATGTAACAGCAGACCGGCACATTTTGTCTCAGGAACAACCACACAAATGCCTCCCAAATTTCCGTGCAAACCCTCAACAAGTAACACAAAGAAGAAGAGTCTCTGTAATTAAATCTATGTGATGTATAAAGTCTACAAGCCGTGTCAAAAATGGGGTGGTCATTTGGTCATCTTCCCCGGCTCCGGCAAAGGACTCAGAACATGAGTTAGTTGGAAAATGAGAAATCTCTTATAGCTGCACAGTCCCCTAGAAAAAGGGAATGATCAACCACTTCTGAGTGCTCTCTACCTAGAAAACTTTGAAAAGGGTCACCATAAGTAAGAACGGACTTGACGGCACATAATTATCATTTATTACATATCTTAATAACATTGCCCAAATCTGAATCAGTATCTAGGTGTTCATTACCAGAGGCAATGGCCTGCCAACCCTTCTTCTCTCTCTCTCTTGGAACTTCTCTGTCTGAAGCCACGAATGAAGGACAGTAGGAAGACACTTCTAGGACACTTCCCGGTTGACCAAGCTTGCTAGTGATGGCAAAAGACCCACCACTGACTCTTAAAATCACATCATGCTTAATCAGTTGAAAGGCATCATAGCACCTCTCAGTCCTGGTGGTCAAAGCTGTTCATCCCTTAAGGTTTCAATCAAACCCAGACAGATCACGGCTTCATTCATTTATGATATTAACAACCCAGTTTTGGAAGGCCACCTCTCACAGAGCTACACACAAAATAACAAATGTGGAACCATAGAATAACTGAGTTGCAAGGGTCCTATAAGGCCATCAAGTCCAACTGCCTGTTCGCAGCAGGAATCCAAATCCAAGCGGTTCTGACAGATAGTGGTCCAATTTTCTCTTGAATGCACGCTCACCTCCTCCCCCTGAGGTCACTGTTTCCATTGTTGTACTGCTCTAACTGTTAAGAAGTTTTTTTCCTGATATTCAGCTGAAATCTGGCTTCCTGTAGTTCGAACTCATCATTACGTGCCCTGCACTCTGGGATGATCGAGAACAGATCCTGCCCCTCCTCTCTAGGACGACCTTTCAAATATTGGAAAAGTGCTATCCTATCTCCCCGCATTCTCCTTTTCTCAAGGCTAAACATGCAAGTGTATAATAAACACAGAAAACAGATGGACAAGGAGTTATCGCTTTGCAGCCTCCAGACCTCCAGTTTCCAGTGCCAGCAGTAAAGAGACACCTCCGTAAGGCTTCTTAAAGATCTGTACCAAAGGGTTCAAACAAGTATCAGCCTGCAGGGTGTTTCGACCGCTGGGGGAGCCACCACCGAGAAGACCTGGCCTCTCTTGCTTGCAAACTAACCTCTTTTACTGTTCTTTGGTGTATGTGACTGGGTTGTTTTCAACTCACAGTGAAGGGCTTCACTGGGTTCCTAGCCGAAGAGTCCATATTGGTTCTGTTGGACCCTTCTTCCCAAATGGTAAGGAGGATTTGAACCTCAGCATGGTGGGCCAAAATGGTCCTCTCTATAGCCTCTGTGTGCAGTGGGCACCCAGCCCTTTCATGATATGCCCCAGTTCCTTCTGCCCCTGGTTCAGCTTAGTAGACAGGATCCTTCTCCACCCCCACCCCCCAGGCTCCCATGTTCATCAGCCAACTTCAGGAACCCATCCCTCATCATCACACTAGTTCAAGAAGAAGAACGAGAGGCACTTCAGCCTTGCCAGAGGGTAGATCCTTTCCCTGGAAGCTAATCTAAGGATTCTCTAATCTAAGGAAGGGTCCAAAGCAAATATTCCTTGCCAGAGACGTATTTCACCTTTCAGCCAGCTTCAGCCAAGCCCTGGCACAGAACACGACAAGGTTGCCATCCAACCACACCCAAGCCGTAAATGCTCCACAACCTTTCTGTGACCTTCAGCACCACTTCTCAGGGCGATTTTTGCCACCAACGGAAGAGTGGCAGAACGTGGTCACAACGAAAGCCTCTCTCTTCCCCTTTAAGCCCCGGGCACAGAATAAACTCCTATTATTATGTGTTTGCTGAATTTATACCCATGGAGCTCAACACAGACCAGCCAGGTGGATTCCCATGGTTGGAGTCTCACCTCCAGGGAAAGAGCAGATCTGAGATCTGTGTCCATGCAGCTCTGGCGACCGGGGCTTGAAGGCCACAACCTTGGCGAGAGGCCCACAGGCGGCTACGGGTCATTAACCGCCAGCCCGGCAACCTCCATGTTCAGATGGGAAGTTGTGACAATTATCACTTGAGGAGGGGCACTTACCATGCTTTGGCACGGTTTGGCAAATCGGGCCCACAGGTTTTTGGGCAGGTGCCCCAGATTCTGTCCCTTTGCCGAATCAAGAGGAGGAGGTGGGGCATGGAAGCTGGACCACCCATACAACACCTGGGGGCCTTGATCCACCAGACTGCGCCGAAGCACCCATCTCTAGTTACCGCACGGACAGGAAGAACAGAAGGAGTCTCACCGATCTTGATCTCACCCACCTGTTGAATGCTTCCGCGTTCTCTCCGCATCTTTGTACAAAGATCCCATAATATCTCCCATGGATTTCGATATCCTCATCTCGTGCTGCTTGCTGTTGTTGGGCTGCAGAGGCTGGAGACGACAGACGAGAAATTAGCCCCGAAGGATGATGCAAACACCACTCGGAGTGTCTCTCCTCAACGTCATCTACCTGGCCCACCAGATCCTCCCAGGGTATGATCCCCCGGGTAATTTTAATGCGTTTCTATAGGCTTTTTAATTTCGCTTTACGATGTTTTCGTTCTACAGCAATTTCGCTGGAACAGATTATCCTCGTCAAGCGAGGCACCCCTGTATAGTGTTCGCTATAATCCATTTTTTCAGCATCCGCAGGGAAGGAACCTAGAACCAATTTCCGATGGATACAGGGGGTCCTACTGTATGTTAGCCCTTTTAGCCAGATTTCCCTCAAGGGCCGCCAGCTGGTAACCAGGAGATAAGCTGCCTCATCCAAAGGCTCAAAACAGCAACGGGAGGAAATAAGAAACGGCTTCAAAAGTAGAGTGATCTGAATGGAAATCACATCAAATGATGAGATGCCAATTTTTAAGAGGGCGCCCTTAAGACAACCCTGCCATCGGATACGCTTTTTAAAACATACAAGCGCTTTCCCTCTTCCAGAGAACAACAGCGCAATTTCTCTTTGTTCACCAATGAAGAAAGAGAGAGAGAAAGAGAAAGAGAAAACAGCCGCTCACGTTAGTTTTCTTTGGCGTTTTCACAAACACTCTCAGGCTCTTGAGGGAAGGGCTGAGATCCAAGTGTTCCACCGCTCGGTCCAAATCTTCCTGGGATTTCAGGGGGATCAGGAGCTGGGGGAAAAAAAGACTGAACAAACACCATGCCTGCAGCTGACTTACGAACAAGAGCAAACAGAGGAAACCGAAGAGCAGGCAGGGGGCTTGGGAACGGCGGGGAGGCCGACGGTCGCGCCCGGGGGCCAGCGTAAGCGAAGGGGAGGCTTCTGGCGGAAAACGGAACCGAACATCTGGGAGCTTTAACCTTTTCTTCCCAGATCCGCCTCCCCCGGAGGAATCGAAGGAAAGTTATCAAAACAACGGCTCGCAAAGGGAGAGGGGGCGAAGTGTCCCTGGCTTGGCCGGAGAGGAAGGTAAACAAAGCGCCGGGGAACTGAATCCAAACTTTGGGATATGTGTGGATCTGCAGAAGGTCCGAGACCACTCATCCTGAACACGGCTTTACTTCGCGGCTTTGTTTACAATCAGGCACCCGTCTCTTCAGGCAATCGCTTGCAAACGGGTGCTAGAAAAGTGTGCTCGGGCAGCAATGATCAGCATGGCCTGAGAACCTGATTCAGCTGGATCAGGTACGGGAGGCATTAAAACTAAGGCCAAAAAACCCTTTTCTCCTTTGACTGGAGAAAGTGACGGGTTTTGGATCGCGTCCTACTCATTGGGAGATGCATGCAAAAGGATGACTGAGGCAGGGAACGTAGGACAAGGTCTTATCTGTGACTACATCCAGGTTCTGGAATACAGTGGTGCCCCACATAACGAGCGCTTTGTTTAACGACGAATCCGCATAGCGATGTGTTTTTTGCAATCGTTTTTGCGATCACATTGTGATGTTTTAAATGGTAACACAGCAACGTTTTTAAAACAGCTGATTGGCGGTTCCAAAATATGCATCCAGGATCATCTCTCACTGCTTTTGGCCACCCAGCTAAGACTTCATTATTTATGCCAACAGATTTTGACCTGCTTAGTTGAGGCTTCCAGCTGTGGAGAACCCTCACTTCAAGTTTTTTCTCCCTCTGCAGCACTCATCTCTGTTGTGTTGATTTTAAGTTGTCGCAGTCGTTTGTCACTAGTTTATTTGATTGGGTTCTACTTACTGCAGGGCAGGCAGAGCCATGCAAATCCTCTGGAAGGGTGGAATAGCCCTTCTAGTAAGTAATGAACACAGATCCTCCACTCCAATTTCCTAACTCAAACCACTCTGAGATGCAGGTAGAAGACATCACGTAATGTCACGCTACCCAATGCCCACAATTCCTTGCCTCTAGAACGCTAGCCTAGGAAGCAACGTCCCTACCGTGAAGTGCTAGATGTCCTTTGTACGGGGAGTGGAGGAGACAACTTTCGCAGTCAGAGGCCAGAATACTGGCACTTCTAAATAGACGGAGATGCCGAAGTATTTTCAAGTACACTTTGGAGCATTTACTCCAAGTCAACGCTAGACTTGTTGAGCAACAGCTAAGACAGTGATACAAGGTGTACCCTGGTGATTTCTTTCATATTTTCTCAATTTCAGCCTCTAACCCATCTCCTAGCCTTCCATCTCTCTGATTCTGGGGTTGATAATACTAAAGAATCTTCCAAGACGGTTATTTTTATTTATTTATTTATTGGACTTATATACCGCCCCATAGCGCTACAAGCACTCTCCGGGCGGTTTACAATTTAATTACACAGGCTACACATTGCCCCCCCCAGCAAGCTGGGTACTCATTTTACCGACCTCGGAAGGATGGAAGGCTGAGTCAACCTTGATTTTTGGACCAATATTGCAGAAGGGCCAGATCATAGAATATCTTGGATGACTGCAGTGTTGTGGACCTAGCTGATGAGGCGAGGGTTATACCAGCTTCTCTGCACTAGCTTTGCAGCATGTTATCGTTTGCATATGAAATCAGCTGAAACTTTTTGTCCATGGTATGCTGCTTAAGGACAGATGCAGATGTCACTTCAGTTTGTTTTTAATACAAATCTGTTTGACTACTGCTGGTGCTGTTACTGCTACTACTACTACTACTAATTATTATTATTCAAAAACACCAGGCACAGTCAAAATTCTAAAAAACTTCAACTCGTATTATATAACAGATACAAGTTTCAACCAAAAACCTAAGTCTCTGTTGAATATTGGCGCAGGATGCATGCTGTTTCGAATATGGACTCTTTTTTTTGTAGCTCTAATGGTGGCGTGTGATTTCCGAGACCTGCACCTGCTTATTATCCGCTCCCCATTCCAGATCAGTCGGCCTCCTTTGTGCATCGAAGAAACCTTTTGCAAGCATGGAGAGACCTCTTGCTTCTTCAGGCTGTTTTCTCCGAGCAACCCGCTGAGTGGCACCAAAACAGGAAAGCTTCCCTGACAGGCTTCTCCAGGTAGAAAGCACATTTGTCCTGCAATCCATCGCAGATTATCAGCCGATGGGTGTTCTTTCCACTTTTGCAGGACGGTACGATTCTTGGTTCACGATGCAGAGGCCTCAGTTGACCTTCCACGGAATTCACACACTCTGCCTCAAAGCATGGAACCACACCCTATATTTGCTCTTTGAGGGCTTTTCATCAACCTCCTGGTCGCCTGGAGTTTGGATCGCAGCCCGTTGTGGCAGCAGTATGGCTTTGCCTACGGCCACTCTACCCCACAAATCTCCAAAGTTTTCCAAGATCTGCCTCTGCTGGGAACAGAGTGTCCTGCATCTATCTCAGTGTTTCTATTCCAGTGTCGCAATGTTCCACGTTCTCCTATGGCCTGGCTCTCAAGGCACCGAAAGACAGCCAAGCACGCGGCGGCCCTTGATGCTCTGTTTAAACTGGCCTTCGGATTTTGTTTCAATTTGGCGAGCAAGTTTGGGTTCCCTCCGCCAGCAAAGTTAACTGTGTCCACGGACGTTCCCTACCAGACATTAACCTCTAAATATAGACACGCACAAAACCAAAAAGCTAGTTGGCAGGTTGGAAGCTCAGGAAACAGAGCAAAGCTTTCCTGCAGCCGGTCAACCAAGTAGCTGTTCATGAGCCAGAATTACCCGAGGTGGGGAGAGAAAAAGAAAAATCTGTGTGCTGATTCATCGGTTTGCTAGTCCCGCTGCTTTTAGGCTCAACAGCAGCATGTTGCCTTCCAAATGTGTGTGTTTGTGCCAAAACTTTTGGCACATTTGTGCTTTGTTTTGTTTTGTTCTGTTAAGGTGATGCATCCACATATGAAAATCTAACAACATATATTCCTGGATTCTATTAAGGCAATTTTTTTTTGATCTGTTTAATTCAGTGTTAATAACAAGCCACGGTTTGTGTTAACCGTGGTTTGCTCTTGAAGCCAAACACAACATTGCAGAGAGCCAGCCAAATGATGGCTTGTTTTCTCCACTCATGGTTTGTGTTCTTCCTTGTCTCTTTTGTGCCCTCTTGTTTCAGCGTTGGGAACTGTCAAAATTCCCCAGGAATAAGCCATTGTCATAGGTTTGAATGTCACAACAAGCCACAGTTCACTCTATTTCAAAGTTCATAAGACAAAAACAAATGATGGATTTAGACTGTGATGTCATGATTAAATAAATCAGTAATTAGATAATCAGTCACACATCACAGTCTAAATCCATCATTTGTTTTGTGCAGAGGTGAATTTCCATATCACAAAAATCCACTTCATAAGAAATATCATGGTAGCTTTCCAGTGTCTCAGGTACTGGATATTTTAGTAGTTTTCCACCTGCATTTTTTTCAAACTGGATGAGTAAGAGACTGAAACTAAAACCTTCTACATGTATGGCATATACTACAATTATTAAACGAACCCTTTCCCAGAAAGTACTGGCTTTTTAAGGGAAATATGAAAAAATGTACCTCTTTAAGGACATGGCCAGCTGTCTGAGCCTACCGAAAGAACGAATTTTTTTTGGCCACTGAACGCATCCATTTTCCTATTCCATTCTGCACAATGGATGCAAGTTGCCCTATATGGAGAAGGAAATCTCAAGTACAGGCATGAGCTGGCAAGCAAGGAAATAAGGTACCTCATTGTTGGCATAGTGTAAGTCCATCATCTGTCCAAAAGCATCCATGACTTTCTGTAGAACTTCCTTGAACTTAACAGGTCTCTGGAACTGCATGATCCTACAGGGGCATATATTTACATTGTGAGAGGTTAGATATAAACAAATTTACCAAGGACAGCAACAGATACTGAGGGACATCTAGAATCCACTTTGAGGCCTGCCCAGCTTGTGACCCTCCGTAAAATGGAAATTTCCAGCAGTGTCACTGAAGCCCTATCAGGAACTCAGAACTCTCCATTCCCATTTTAACGGACAGGAGAATGTGCCTAATCCTTGGGAGGCTGATGACTAAGGATGTTTGGTGGCCTGTAGGATGCATGGGAAACACGTTGTGCAGCCTTATGTAGGGCTTCACCCGAGGAGAATATGCACCAAAGGAGAGTTTGGCTCTAGTACTACTTCTCCTAGAAGCAGAAGAAAAGAATTTATTACGTCTCAGGCAAAAATACAATTTGGGTAGATTTGTTTCTCACAGGGAGTGGGGGGAGCAGCACACATTTTAAATAGCTTTATGAAACCAATCAAGGCAACATGGAAAAAAATTAGAATGCTAGCAAACCTCGAGCTTGCTAACTTTTAAAGGGATGTATAGAATAGACCATTTCTTTTAAAAGAAAAAACAGCTATTGGACCAAGAGAATAATATTTGGTTTTTATTTTATTTATTTATTTATTTGTTCGATTTATATCCCGCCCATCTGGTATATTCTACCACTCTTAACAAGGCACAAGGACACATCCTTCTCTATGGAACCATGTACATACCTTTTCTCTCCATCATGTTCAAACTTGATTCTGGCATTCCGCAGCTGGGGAAGAAAAAGAAGAAGAAAACAATTAACAACAGAACTGATGTGGTACATGGCTGAGACCAGTGGTTCAAATCTACCCTCTGCCATGAATATACTAGTTGGCCTTAAGCAAACCATTCCCCTTCAGCCTCAGTTTCCCCACCTACAGTACAGAGGAAAAAAATCAGAGTTTAAAAGTAACTAATTACATCCTTATCTGCAACTAGATACTTTTTTGGGTAATGAGCAATGTAACTAAGATTTACAAATATATTTAAAAGGCATTTCAGGGGCATTTTGATGGGATGATTTTTTTTCAGGTGTGATGTCATACTTTTTTATCTGTCCTAAGTGGCAACAGAAATATTCTGTTGTTCTCGCTCTCTCCGTATGTTTTCGTAAACACTTCCAAGGTGCAATATCAGAATTGACCACTAAAGGGAGCTAGAGAGGATTCCTGAATTCTTCTGGCCTGTAAGTACAGTATCCACATAAGGCAACGAATTCGTAATGCAACAAATTGCTTATAGGATCAGAGCAATTATAACAGTGATGGCAACATGGCCAAATCATGAGGAATGAGATGAGCTCCTTTCAAAGATTAACATTCCAAACTTAGGAGAAAGCAGGGACCACTTACCTTATAAGCCTATTACAAAGACAAGGAGACAATGTATAGTAACCATACTTGTAATCACTTCCATTTTCTGGACAGTAATCTCTGATGTCCAGTCAGCTGGATCTTAGAGCCGTTTTGATATTTGCTGAGTTACTCTCTCTCTCTGTATATATATTTTCAGTGTTCCAAGCTGTACTCTGAGCACTACGAGGAATTTAAAGGGCAACTCCTTGATACTGATCTAACCACTGCTCCAGATTGTTGCTGCCAGCAGACAACTTACATAGAAGGGGCCCCTACTGATGTTAAGTGGGAACTTGAGAGAGGTTACTTTAACCCCCCATCAGATCTTGAACCAGATCTCACCTGGCTTATAAGACAAGACGGCAAAATATCTGACAGGCCGTTATGATACGGTTGATGAGCTGTGTTTTGTTTAATTATGGTGGGTTGGATGACCAGCACAAAGCTCTCCCCGGTGGACTTCTTAGCTGAACGTGGTGGCCCACGTTCATTCGCTGCAAGGAAGCATCATTCGTTCCCCATGCAAACCGGCCCCTTCGACTCGTTATCAGAGGCAATGAAGCTTTCTAGGAGAGATTTCTGGGACCCCGCAGAGGTGGAAACACATTGAAAATCAATGAGAACCTCCTTCTTGGGGGGAAAAACCCCTCAAACTGCCGCTCTGCAATCCGCCTATATGGAGGAGTCCAGAGATTTGGCGGCACCATATGCTGGCAGAGACTCTTTGCAAATACATCTTTTTGCTTCACTTCAGAGTAGGAAACTGTTCAACAATAGTTGAGAGTAAATAAAGTTTCCCTTTGACATTTAGTCGAGTCATGTCCGACTCTAGGGGGCGGTTCTCATCCCCGTCTCCAAGCCATAGAGCCAGCGTTTGTCTGTAGACAGTTTCCGTGATCACGTGGCCAGCGCGACTAGACACACAACGCTGTGACCTTTCCATCGAGGTGGTTCCTATTTATCTACTCGCATTTTAACATGCTTTTGAACTGCTAGGTTGGCAGGAGCTGGGACAAGCGACGGGGGCTCCCTCCGTCGCGTGGATTCGATCTTACGATGGCTGGTCTTCTGACCCTGCATCCCAGAAGGCTTCTGCGGTTTAACCCGCAGCGCCACCACGTCCCACATAGTTGGGAATACTCTACTATTAATAGTCTTTCCCGGATGCAAAAACACATTACAGCATTATCTTTCCCTTTTCCCTCCTTTCTTCTCAGAAAAAAAGAAAAAGAGGATCCCCCACCCAGAGTGACTCTAGTCCAGAAAAATGAGACGTATCTCAAAAGGAGAATTCCTCGATGGGCAAGCGAGTGACATCTCTTCCTGAACACATTTCTTATCTTTCTCTGGAACTTCAGCCACAGTGTGATCGGCTATTTCCATGCTCCGTTTTATACCACCCACCCACCCAAAGAAGACTGCCAGAGGGAGAAGATCAGAGCCGCCAGAGTCATCAAAGCTTGAGGGGTGGAGGGTGGTTGGCAATTTGTTTAAAAAGGATCACTGGATAAAATGGCATGAACTAGTTTATAAATAAGCGGCAAAATGCCTTCCAAATATAGGGATTGGAGTGTATTAGCTGCCCGCAAATGGGGTGGGCATTCGGACATGGTAAAGTTTTCCTATTCCTACACCATTGATTTCCCCAAGCTCGGTATTGCTATGGCTTGAGCTAACTTGGAAGCAACGCTCCCAGGTTTCAGACTTTCGCTGTTCCCATCCCGACCTGGCGATTCCACCAGAAACTTTTCGACTGCACAGTGCGTGCTCTGCCACAGAGCTGTGAAAAGTTAGTGCTTTAGACTACAGCTCCCAGAATCCCCCAGTCGGTAGGGCCTCCGACGGCAGCCTTCCCCTTTCTTCTAGCCCAGTGGTTTTCAACTTTTGGGTCACGGAAGGGTTCTCGGACTGCAACTCCCAGAAGCCTTCACCACCAGCTCTGCTGGGCAGGGTTTCTGGGAGTTGCAGTCCGAGAACATCTGGATTACTCAAGGTTGGGGACCACTCTTCTAGTCCATCAAATCCTAGGACTTTCCTGATTCTGGCTGCAAACCATTAAGTTTGCAGACCAATTCCAGAGATGTAAGCTCAATTTTAAATGCCTGACATTTAAAATGTCATGATTTCTGTTGCTGAGCAAGAGAGAGCTTGATATCCACACCCCCATCTGATGCATTTTTTTTGGATTATAATTTTTGTGTGTGTGTGGAGCCGAGCAATTCTGTTTAGGAACAACTTGTTGCTGGAAATGGACAAAACACTTGTTTAAAGCAGCCCCAGAAGAGAGGAAAATAATGACTGCATCCTTTTTCTGCCGAATGCAACAATAACAACAGCAGTGACCTCCTCCGGCAGGGAGCCAAGGAAAACAGACCAGCCGCCTCGCAGAACAGGACTTGGCTGGCGAGGAGAGAAATACCAGCCGCGCCAGATGCTCCAGAGAAACTCCATTGGGCTGGAGCTTCTCCCGGCACTCAAATATTACTTGCTGGAAAAACAACTGTTTCAGAAAGCCCCCCCCCTAAAAAAAATATCAGCTTTGGGAAATGCAGATGGGGGAAAAAAACCCCTCGACAGACTGTGTACAGCTTGAACCATCCGTCCTTAATTTCACTGGAAAGGAAAAGATGCTGTGCCATGAAAGCACTCTCGGGAGGTCCCATTGCAGGCTGGTGTGACCATCAGAACGAACCTAAGATTTGCTACATGCGTGGAACAGCTGGGCCATGACCGAGTTTGGAGTTAATTAGTTCCAAGTCCTGTGTAGGCGTTCAAAGCTATTGACCTAGTTACTTTCCATGTATTGAATATAATGCAAACTAACTACTTTGGAGAATGCAAACTAATTATCATTGCAAACAATTCATTCCTTCGGTGGTTGTAGGTTTTTCCGGCTGTTTGGCAATGTATTGAATATAATGCAAACTACCTACTTTGGAGAATGCAAACTAATTACCATTGCAAGCAATTCATGCCTTTGGTGTTTGTAGGTTTTTCCGGCTGCTTGGCCATGTTCTGAAGGATCCTGTTCTGAAACAGCCCGAAAAACCTACAGCCGCCATAAGATCGCTGCCATAAAAGCCTCCGAGAATACAATTCATTCAAAGGTTCTCCTTTTGTCCAGCCATGGGGGTCTTCCATGTTGGTCTTCAGCATATATACGTCAACACTGGGAAGCCTGCTCGGTATTCCAGCGTAAATTTCATCTTCTTAAATGAGCAGATTATTTTAGAACAATAAACTTATGTTCTATTTTCTTTTAACCCATGACCCTCCTATCCCACTAGATGCTAAAACTTCTCAACGGAGGCGATTATATTCTGGACCACGGGAAGACAAGACTCACTGGAAAAGACAAATACGTCAACACTGGGAAGCCTGCTCGGTATTCCAGCGTAAATTTCATCTTCTTAAATGAGCAGATTATTTTAGAACAATAAACTTATGTTCTATTTTCTTTTAACCCATGACCCTCCTATCCCACTAGATGCTAAAACTTCTCAACGGAGGCGATTATATTCTGGACCACGGGAAGACAAGACTCACTGGAAAAGACAAGAACTGCCTTTAGTCTGCAAGGTTTTTTTTTTAATGATGGGGCATTTTGGAGGCCATTAATTCAGAGAGTTACCACAAAACAGACAGCAAAAGAGTGTCCAGAATAATTGGTTTTAATGTACAAGCTCACCTTGTCAGGCACTTGAGCCTTCTGTGTGTAACCCCTATGAAATATTGGTTCAGCCCAAAGAGGTAGGATGAAGTAAGAGGAGGGCAGTGAGTAAGAGATTTGAATCAGAATGAAGTAAGAGGAAGGCAGTGAGTAAGAGATTTGAATCAGAAAGAGCAGGAGAGCTGAAGAGGCCAGAGCTGCTGTTTCCAGACTGCTAGGTCCCTTGCCAACTTGGTCCAGCTATAGTTCCTATATTTTTTAGGTTGGAGGACTGATAGGTCCCGTGCCAACTTGGTCCACCTATAGTTCCTATATTTTTTAGGTTGGAGGGATGAATCCACATAGTGAATTCATGCATATGCAATTGCATTGATATTTTATTCTATGGTTTTGAAGACTCTGCATGTAGAGCTGAGTTTTCTATGCACCGACACCCAACCCAGTAGAGGAAGACATCCTGAATTTTTGTCTGAACGAGAATTCAAAGGGGCACACTTGATCTCTGCAATTCTACAAGCTATGTGTATTGGCGCTGTTGCCAAGGAACCGGGTGCAGAAATTGTAGAGTTTTGTTGTTGTATAATTGCTCATGCTGTCCGTTATATAACTGCAAACCAGAAAAGGCTCATTTTTGTGAAATTGTGTTTGGAAGGTTCATCAATAGATAGCTAAGTAAACAAATAGCCCCATAGACATTAAAACTGTTACACATGCTCTACTGTAGGATCCATTTCCTTATAGGAAGCTGCAACTGCTCTGTGCAGAAAATGGAACCGGATCCAGCCCCCCCCTTCATGTCATTGGACTGGATCGCTTCCACAGCCAGCAGCTCTTGGCCAATTTCCTCCTTCCTCTTTGTAACGTCATGGAAGTACAGTGGTGCCTCGCATTACGATTGCTTCGTTTAACGACGAAATCGCATTATGATGAAGCTTTTGCGATCTCAAAACGATGTTTCCTATGGGGGAATTTCGCTTTGCGAAAGAGTCGGACACGACTTAGCGACTAAACAACAACAAAGCCCATCCAAAACCGGGAGAAGAAACGAGACCCAAGGCCGATCCCACCTCAGAATCCCTGTTAAGTACTTCTGTCTTCTGCAAAAGGAGAGGAGGAAGGAGATGAATTTGCCTGGTTGGAGATAAAACCATGACAACTGCTGTTTTCATGTATGTTTATGCATGCTCGTGTGGGTGTTCATGCACGTGCATGAGTGCGTGCGTGCGTGCGCGCACACACACGGAAAATCCAGCAAATCTCTGCTTAACTTGCCTCAAACGCTGGCTGGTTTCGATTAGGAAAAATGTTGGGAAATCAGGGGGAAAAAACAACCAACCAACAAAGCGCCTCAGAATGAGGAGAATCATGATCTCATGCAGCATTCCCTACAGAATTGGCGGCTGTTTATAATAAAACACAGAGCAGGCAGTTAAAATCGAAGTGGACTGGACAAAACGTCCCGGAGAGGAAGCAAACATGTACGGCTCGCCCGCAGTTAGAAAGAAGGGAAGCTGAACAGACCAAAATGTTTGAGGTATTTATGGGTACCAAGAAACTCCAAGTCTTGACCTGAGATTTGGGCCTTTGTTGCAACTTCATTTCCTAGCGCTTGGAAAAGTGAACTCTTTTGGAACAAGGAATCCACTCTCTACTATGGCTACTGCCAATAATGACAGAATCCGCTAATCATGGAGTTAGAAAGGGGGTCTTTAAGGCCATCAAGTCCAACCCCCCCTCCTCAAGGAGATCTGACAGAGGGTGGTCCAATCTTCTCTTGAATGCTTCCAGCACTGCAGTGCTCACTCCATCCCAAAAGCATCATCATCATCATCATCATCATCATCATCATCATCATCATCATCATCATCATCATCATCATCATCATCATCATCATCATCATCATCATCATCATCATCATCATCATCATCATCATCATCATCATCATCATCATCATCATCATCATCATCATGTCTTGTGAAGTCAATTGTGACTTATGGCAACCCTTTTTCAAGGTTTTCCAGGTACAGTATGCTCAGAAGGCTGGCTGTAATTTACTATTCCCTCCCTCTAGGGCGCAACCTTGGGGCTGGGCAGCTGGTCCAAGGCTACCCAGGCTGGCTCTTCTCCCGAGAGGCACAAGTGGGGGGAATCAAACTCCCAACCTCTGGCTCTGCAGCCAGAGACCTAAACCGCTGAGCTGCTACTGGTTAAGTAAAGTTGCATTATAATTAAAAGGAAGGAAAATTTTCCAAGTTCTGGAATATCAGGCAGTTTCACAACGCAGGCAGAGCGCAAGGTTGCACCGAAGACCGGTCTAGGTCACACGTAAACACAGTTCCTGGCTGCTCTTATTTTTTTAAAAAAGAGAGAGAAAAATGATCTTTGGGAGGAGTGGAAATTTCTAGGAATGAGAGGGGGAAGGACGAGTGCTTCAGCCTTTCACCTCCCCTCCCATTACTCTATCCTAAGCGGCTCTCAATTCTATCTCTCCCTATGGAGGTTTCCTTCTTACCCCATACCAGTAGGCACATGTTTAGTAGGAGTAGAGGGACAAACCCAATAATTGAGAAGCATCTTTGTATGCTGGAAACCCTAAGCCTCAAAAACCCGAAAGCAGGACCTTTGTCGTCTTTGGGAAACAAGGATACATTTCTTCAATGAATCCTAAAGCCAAGTCATTCTCCAGCAGCTCCTGGTTGGTCTCCCCGTCATGCTCTGCCTCCACCCCTCCTCATTTTATAAACCATGCATCCCCTCTCAAGCCCACCAAAGACCTATTAGGGCCACTGGACACTGCTCCACTTGGGAAATCTGCTAAACATCTGGATTTGTTTTTTTTTGGCACAAGCTTGAAGAGCCTGGAAGATGTGCTTTGGTTTCCATTACGACAGTGGTCCTCAACCTTGGGCCTCCAGATGTTGTTGAACTACAACTCCCAGAAGCCTTCGCCGCCACCTCTGCTGGCCAGGATTTCTGGGAGTTGAAGTCCAAGAACATCTGGAGGCCCAAGGTTGGGGACCACTACATTAAGAGGCAAGCCACCTTTCTGTATCTCCAAGAGAAGGACTCGGTTCCCTTGATAAGAGAACTTCGGGTCAAAGGGCCGTATATTTTATTTGCTGCTTGGAAATGGATTCTTTTGACTACAGTTCGATAAATATAAAGCTGCCTTCAATCTAGTCAATGCATATGTCCTTCTAACCAGTGGTTGCCAACCTGGGGTCGACAGATATTACTGGACTGTAGCTTCCCGGAGCCTTCGCCGCTAATCGTGTTGGCCAGGATTTCTGGGAACTGCAGTCCACAAACATCTGGGATCCCAAGGTCGGGGAAAGACTGTGGTAGCTCTTTCGGTTCACTCTGACAAGAGCTCTCTGTGGTTTCAGGAAATGGTCTTCTCATTGCCTGACACCTCACTAGAATCATAGAATCATGGAAGGGGCCTGTAAGGCCATCACGTCCAAACCCCTGCTCAAGGCAGGAATCAAAAGCAGATGATGGTTGTCCAGTTTCCTCTTGAGTGCCTCCAGCGTTGGAGCGCTCACCACCTCCAGAGGGAATGAGTTCCACTGTCGTACTGCTCGAACAGTTAAGAACTTTCCCCTGATATTCAGCCTAAATCTGGCTTTCTTGAGCTTGAGTTACTACTTTAACTGTATAGATACCACAAAGTGAACCTAGGATCTTTTGCAGGTGAGCTAAATGTTCCATGTATGACTTGGAGTTTCTCCCTCTTCACTCCAATGAGAAGTTTACATTATTAATATACCGTATTTTTCGCTCCGTAATACGCACCTTTCCATAAGACGCACCAATTTTTTAGGAGAAGAAAACAGGAAAATATAATCTGTTTTCTTCGCTCCATAAGACGCACAGACTTTCCACCCCCCTGTTTTGTGGGGGGAAAGTGCGTCTTATGGTGCGAAAAATACGGTAAGTGACATGGTACAATCCCCCCTCCACCAGACCTAGGATATGATATAAAAGGCAAATAGACACAGGAGAATATCCCCTAATAACACACTGCCAGCAGTCCTGATGTGGCCTTACACCCTCCAATAGAATTCACAGTAGGGCCCCCGTAAATGTGGGGGATCAGTTCTTAGCCCCCCTGCTGATACTGAAAAGTGCAGATAACAGCAAACACTATTATAATAGTCAACGTGAGACATAGCATGGTCTCAGTCTCCCTCTAGTGGCCAGTTGCAGTAACTTCATCAATAAAAGTATTTTGGGGGGATTTTTCGTTTAATATTTTCAGACTGTGGATTGGCAGAGACCGATACCATGGATAAGGGGAGCATACTGTACTTTAAATTGTTTTTATGAGCTACTCTTATGTATTATAGGGATGTGGATGGCATTGCAGGTTAAACCGCTGAGTCATTTGGCTTTCGATCAAAAGGTTAGCAGTTTGAATCTGCAGGACAGGGTGAGCTTCCATGGCTTGGTCCTGCCTCCTCGCCAGCCTAGCAGTTCGAAAGCATGTAAATGCAAGTAGATGAATAGGTACTACCTTGGCAGGAAGGTAACAGCGTTTCGTGTCTAGTCATGCTACCCACAGAAAGTGTCTACAGACAAACGCCGGCTCTTCAAGCGTATAATCGGAGATGAGCCCCTAGAGTCGGGCACAACTGGACTCAATTGTCAAGGGGAAGCTTTACCCTTACCTTTATGTATGATAAATTCTGCACCTGATCCGTCAAAAACGCCTTTTCCACTCACACACAATATGAGATGACCAAAGCAAACAAGCGAATCCACAGGGAAGCGGTATCTTAGTGCCCCACGTTATGAGCCCGTGCCAATCCCAAAGTAACTGCCAGCAAGCAAGAAACAACATTTCACCCGTTTTCGGTTGCAGGCTGGAGGAAGAGATCTTTAGAGGCATAAACTCACCTGTTTGTTGGAATGGACGTGGTTTTTGTTCCTATGGCTGTCCAGGAGACCCCCGCATTTGCCCAAGGCAGCGAGATCCTTCATAATAGAGTTGATCGCTGCCTCTTCGTCTGCGGAAAAAGGAAAGGAAAGGATGAAAACTTGAAGATTTATTCTCTATGGGACTCCTCCAAGATATTGCATTTCACAACTCTATTAAAAGATGCAGTCTCTTCTCAGTACTGGCAACTCAAGACTATTAAAAGTGAGAGATACCCTGTTCACCAAGCCAAGCTACGGTAAGAATCCAAATTACGAGGGGGGGGGAGAGAAAATGTACCCAGTCTACAACTACAACCGAGTGTGTAATCAGAATGCTTCACACGGCTTACACTGTTGTGTGACACAGCTGCTTAATAGACAGTGTTGTATGTATCAGGATGGCAGCTGGATAGTCTAAAGAAGTAGGTTTTCCCAGCAAATCCGGGGAAGCAAAAAAAAAAAAGCAAAAACAGGAAATGGGCATTTCCACCACCTTGATGGTGGAGAAAAAGGAGGAGGAATATTCCAGTCAATGCAGGAATTCCTCACCTCTTAGCGGACAGAACGGAGTAGCAGAGTCCCCTAACGGTTGGACTTTGCTGCCCTATAAGGAGCTGTCATTACGCCATCGTTGCTGAAGAACCAAGGGAAGGAGGACTTTTCCCCCCACAGCACTCTAGAACAGAAAAATTTTTTAGAGAATCCACTCTGGATGCAAACATATTTCTTCGATACTTCGCAACACCGTCTCTTCCTATACTTGCTCTGTTGATTTATCAATGTTACGTTGGTCATCAATATGTCTGATGAAGTGGACTTGTTCACAAAAGCTCACATAAAAAAATTAAAAGTTAGTCTTTAAGATGCCACCACATTTTGTCTTCTTTTTTTAAAAAAAAAACTTTTAACTTTTTATTTTGTTCTCACCTATCATGCTTGGCTTTTCCCACCCCCTGGACTAACACAGTAACTCTTAAACACAGTACTTGTCTTTAATGATGTGTAGAGAAATCTATGACACGGTTTTATATCCCTTCCTTGTCTCAGCAGTTCTGTCGGGTTGAGCTAGCAAGAGATACTGCCGAGAGGCATCAAAGTTTGGGAATCCGCCTCTCCGCCTGCAATTCCCAAACTCTCTCCAAACCAAAATAGCCGGTGACTCCCTTCAGACAGTCCCCAGGTATGTTTCAAATGACACAAAAATGTGCTTCTTAAAGACAGATAGATGAATCGCGTCTCCGTGCCCACTCTCTCTAAAACAAAAAACCACACACAATCACACACACACACACAATGTGTTGGGAGAAAGCAGCTGCAGGCTGGAACAAAAACCGTTGACATCACTGCTTTGCAAAACCATCGCTCACACTGCTCGGTTTGCCAAACGTCTTGCGCAGGAGCCGAGGTTCGTGACTCTGGGGATCCCCACGAAAAGGCTTCCCTTGAAGGGTGGGGCGCCCTCCCGGAGCAGCCGGCCAAGCCGGTTCAACCAGGCCGGGATCCGGGGCTTGTCATTACAGGGCGACAACCAGGTTTGAATGGAACATCTTCCGAGAGCCTCCCAAAGCAAGAGGCGTCTTGTTCTTTGCATCTCTGCCTCTGCAGCTCTTTCTGGGGTGAGAGAAAAACGGTGTAGGTGGCCTTTTAGGGACAAGCCACTTCCCGGGAGCACAAAAGGAGCCAGAGAAAACATCAGCAGCATCCCACCGACAGCCCCGGAAATACTTTGGAAGAGCAACACAGCAGTCCTTTGGTCTGTGTAAAGCAAGCAAGATGACCGGGGTAGCCAGTTTTCCACTATTACAGGCAACATCTTCTGCAACAAGCTTCCTGGAACAGGAAGTTCCTAGATAGTTCCTGACTCGTTTCAAAGTCGGCAAAAACACAAAAAACACAAGACAAAAACAACAACGCTGCGTCTTAGGCCAGATGGGGGAAAAAAGCAACAGGAGAATCTGGGTAAGACAAGCAAGATGACCGGGGTAGCCAGTTTTCCACTATTACAGGCAACATCTTCTGCAACAAGCTTCCTGGAACAGGAAGTTCCTAGATAGTTCCTGACTCGTTTCAAAGTCGGCAAAAACACAAAAAACACAAGACAAAAACAACAACGCTGCGTCTTAGGCCAGATGGGGGAAAAAAGCAACAGGAGAATCTGGGTAAGAAAGCCAAACAATCTTAGGCCAGATGGAAAAAAAAAAGCAACAGGAGAATCTGGGTAAGAAAGCCAAACACCATAAAGCCAGAAATACAGCACATATCAAAACTCTGGCACAAGTCAGGTCTGTATGCCACCCATGTTGTTAGCACAACTCTGGCGCAAGTCAGGTCTGTATGCCACCCATGTTGTTGTCGTTGTTGCTGTTCTATGCCATCCAGCTGCCTCCAACGAACGATCTCCAGAACATCCTGTCCTTAACGGCCCTGCTCAAGTCTTGCAAACTCAAGCTGGCAACTTCCTTTAGGGAGTCAGTCCATAAAACAAAGAAATAAATCCATCTCCTATCCTCCCCATAGGCATAGGCATCGGCATCCTTCAGTCTCGAGAGACTATGGTAACATGCTCTGAATCGAGGAGTGTCCTCTCCAGAGCATGAAGCTCGGGTAAGGTAATATGGAGAATATGCTGTTACCCAAGCAGCAGATCCCCGGCGAATTCCTTTAGGGAGTCAGTCCATAAAACAAAGAAATAAATCCATCTCCTATCCTCCCCATAGGCATAGGCATCGGCATCCTTCAGTCTCGAGAGACTATGGTAACATGCTCTGAATCGAGGAGTGTCCTCTCCAGAGCATGAAGCTCGGGTAAGGTAATATGGAGAATATGCTGTTACCCAAGCAGCAGATCCCCCCTCTCCACATTGCTGAAATAGTCCAATGGAAAGGCAATAGCCAATACAACTGGTTCCAGCAATGTCGCAGGAGTTGGCAGAACGACACGAACTGCCTCCGGGACTCCAGCTCCGGATTTTGCCTCGAGGTTAACTCCTGAAGCCTTTTCCATGAGTGGATGTAGCCACAAGGCAGTGGAGGTTTGAAATCGGAGTTTTCCTTCTCCTAGATGGGCTGCCTTCCATGGCTGACGAGCCCCCCCTACACGGCCTGCTCTTTAATAGTGCGAAAGTATGATCCTCCCCATACACAGGGGGTATCAGTATTCAGTTGCTTCACACAAACACACACAAAGAATCTCCCAGACCTTCCAATTGCAAAGCTACAATTAACCGTGTGCAAGGAGTTGCTGATGAAGTCTCCCCATCATGACGGCTCTGCCCCTCTCTTTTAAGAGAACGTGTCCCTCACGTGCCCGCACAGATAACTTCTGATGCGAAGCTGTTCACTTGCGTAAGCCTCCTCCCCCCCCCCCCCCGGCTGGCATTTCAAAGTGGAAGAACTTGGATGCAAGGCGTTCCACCTCTGTGAGGACCAGAGTCTAACCACTTTTTGGAAGTTGGCACCTGAGGGTGGTCGGAAGAAAGATGTAGGTGGAATCCATTTGCAGGTAACTCCTCTTCCTACCAGTTACCTGCCTGGGGATACAGGAGGACCCCTGTCCATTGCCGAACGGTAATTGTAGGGAACCTCAAACAACGTTTGCACTCTCCTTTTCCTGCACACATCCTGCCTGGGTGACCAGTCAAGCCCCAAAGAGTGTCGGAGAGGGATTCGTTTATAAAGGGAGAACCCTGCTTTTTTCCTGGCACGGAATACCGAGACCTGGCCTTCGACCTTTCGACCACAGCACTGTCTCTGCTGCAGCCTTGCACATGAAATGCAGAATGACATTCTCCAAGGAAAAGTTGCGGGCGGATGCAGAAAGAGGACACAACCGTGGATTTCAGACAGAACCACGAGAAACCAAGAGGAACCCAAACAGCTAGAGCCATTTATCTTTATTCCCCAGGCGGTAGAGCGGAGGTGGGCGATCTCAGCACGGTTGAGGGTCATTTCTTTAGGGCTATACTCCCAAAGTGGCAGGACTAAAATGTAGGGTTCTGGACAAAGAAGCCAATTCCCATGTTTACTGTTCCTCTATATTATTATTCCACAGGCTGTACGTTGACCACTTGTAAACGATAGAAATTATACGTTATCTTGGAAATGTGTGGTTCCATGCATGTGTTTATTCATCTAAAGGAAACACAGATGTGGGAATCAACCGGGTAGCTGGGATCAAGTGTGGATCAACAAGATAGCTGGGAACTTAATCCCTATATATAATAGGGATTAAGTTTCCAGCTATCTTGTTGATCCACACCTGATCAATATATATATATTTTTTCAGGGTTAGAACTGGTGCATAGGAAAAAATGGCTGAACTCTCTCTTGCCTTCCACTCCCCAGTAACTGTGTCTTTGTCTGAGCATTTCCGGGAAGCAGCAAACGCTGTATCAGAAAAGCACTGTTGCACTCACAAGAGGGCACGTAGAACTTCAAAATGAAACCCGCTCCCATGTCATGGAGGTTCCTCTCCCCCCCCCCACCTCCAGCACTGAGAAGCTGGTATCTTTCCCTTCCTGAATGTCACACCACAACTTCTTCTTTTTACATCGCTCTCGAGAACTCATTTGGGTTCTGTCGCTCAAAACTATACAGGCCTCCTTAGCTTGAACTATTTTTTTTTGCCCTAGATCTGAAAGAGGAAATATGAAAATTTACAACGCGCAAGATTAAATCTTTAAAATGGCCCTTTTGCAAACACCGAGCCTTGTGTTGTTTTTGCCCCACTTCTACAAAACCCAAACCCTTTTCATACCCCGCTGCTATGAAAAAGAAGAACAGCACACAGAACGAGGGGGCCTTCGCTAAAAGAGGTGTGCATCTTTCTGTTTTTGGATAACACCACCCAGAGGTCCCCAGGAACATGGGCAATCTCCATATGTGTCTGGTCAATTCTAGGAGTTGTAGTTTTATAAAACCACAAACATGCACATCTTTTCTACTGGACCCTTGCTGGCACATCAACTTCATAAACATGCAAGCTTGCTTTCCGTGCTAAACTAAGTAGGTCTACTTGGAAATGTGCCTTAAGTATGCACAGGGTGGCTGCTTCAAGCCACTTCCTTCATCCCACATTTCCCTTATTCAAC